ACAGGAACATGCATCGTCTGAAAAATGTGCACATTGTTACAATACAGTCTTCCATCATAAACTACCAGTTTGGGTGGAGGAAAGTGTGTATGTGGAAAGTGTGTATGTGTTTTCTCTTTTTCTGCGTGAGTCTATGTATTCTTTATGCATCTGGCCCCAGGTTTTTTTTGTGCAAATGTATTGTGTCTGTGAGCTCTTGAGACACAAAAGTCAAAGGAGGACAGTGTGCTTGTTGGGGTGCAATTGCTTTGTTCCATTCTTTGTGTTTGCGTTAGAGCACCCAACCAGTGAAATAATTGTGTCTGGAACATAGTCTGTGTGAGAGCTGGTTTCTAAACAGTATTCACTGGTATCGGGCTATGGGCGATGATGAAAATTTATCACCCATTACACAGCAAAATAGTGTCACATTAGGACAAAGGCAAGCGGAGGCAAGTGCTGCAGATTTCAACCGACTCCTTTTTAGTCCTTTCCCATCCCATCCCTTCCTCTCAGCCTACTTTCCTCCCCTGGTGCTGCTTGATGCCACCTTTGGATCAGCTTGCTGTTGATTCACCAATTATTTGGCACAGGATCAAGCTAAAAAGGGACAGAACAAATCTGACCCCAAAGAGTGAGGCAGAAAGCAGAGAGCTGAGAGCTGCTGCAGCTGCAGGACTGGAGCCTGGATTTTATCACCACACGTCTTAACTTTGATGGGATATACTTAGCAATGGCAATATCCCGTTAACGGGAGGTATAATTGACTTTTCTTTATTAACTCGTTTTAAGTATTTACATGTCCTGTTCCACGGGATGCAGTTTCTGCAGCTTAAACAAATGTGAAAGCTTAATTTACCTTAATGTTGTTAACATGGAAGCATGGCAGGCGGCTCTGACTGGAGTCGAAGAACCTTGTTAACCAAAGGTGATGTTTTGAATTAATAATGAAACTACTTCTCACGATTTTCATTCATATCATACATGTTTCATGTCATTTTCATTTCCTTCAGTTATTTTCTCTGTAAAATACCTCCCATAAAATGAGATGAGGGACTGTGATGGCACAAGTTTAAAGCACTGTGAGTAATGTTTTGCATGCAGGGGTGATGGAAGCCTGTTGGGAGACATTGGAACAAAACATGAAATACTGAGGCAGTTTATGCCCCAGCACTCTAAGCACAGAAACCACCAACGTGAGCATTTCCTCCACTTTCTTAGGCTTATTTGTGACTTGGCCAAATATGTTATGACTTTGGCTGAACAGTCGTTATACTAGTGCCTCCAGCAAGCTCATGCATTACTCTGCCAGAGCTCTACAGCCTTGTGTGGCACACGATAAGATTGTGGAAGTTTTCCACGTGCTCTTGCCACAAACTGTACCACAATGTAACTGTTAAAATATTGCAGACATTTCTTCAAACCGATGGCTGAAGGCTTTTTTTTAACTTAGTTTGCTGCTACTTGTTGAAATACGCGAGATGAGTACTTGGTTTTTCTGGAGGGCAGGAATTTCAAACGATTTACACCAGTGTGGCAAACAGGGAGGACGAGGGAATAGAAAACAAAACAAAACTGGAAGTCGGAAAATCACCCGAAATAACCGCACGTCTTTGAATGTTGCGTAAGAAGGATTTTCTTTTAAAAGTTGGCTCCTAAATCTCCTTATCAAACCACATTCAGTCGAAAGCAGCACTCACAGTGAAATACACATGAGCAATACTACAAAGTTCAGAAGCGAGAACGGTGATTGATTCACTGCAGCTTATGGAGGGCTTTGGTTGTGCCATCCTGTTTCTATGCAAATGTCTTTGGAACGTTATATTCTCAATTGCAAGAGGAGACCGTGACTGGTCGTAATGGAAAAATAAGACACACCGTCACCAGAGTCTGCTCATTGACATGCCGTAGAGCTCCCACAGCCCCCCGAGAACATCGGAGCGTCATGCTATCTATGGTCGTTGTGCACGCACACACACACGTACACGCTGGAGATGACAAAGGCATGTCTTTCCACAGAGCTGGAAGAATGATGCGGCGGGAGCGGGGGGGAGTATTACGGTTCAGTCAATTGAATCTCAAGGTGCCTTTGGAGACCCAGCTCACTTCTCAGTTTGTTTAAGATGGCTGTGCGAATGATGTATTTTTTTTTAAAAGGGCCGATAATTAGTGCAAGTATTCCTTTGGAATTATTCTATGGGGATAGGATAGCGGAAAAAATCAGTTTGCTTGCTTTTCCGTTGAAATTTAAGATCAGGCCGATATCTCTCAGAAGCTCTTTGATTTCTCAGGAAAATCAAACAGCTGCTTTTATAATTTGTGATTTTACATCAAAACAACATTTTTCAGTCAGAAAAAATGTTGTTAGGGGCCTACATTTTCAGTGGCTGTATAACTGCAAAAGCTGAGGGATTTATTTAATTATTTTTTAAATGGAAGTTGATGTTTTACTACCTCTGGTAGGACTGGAGTTACACATTTAGTCTCTGGCGTGCTGCTTTAGATACACAATAAGCGTTCAAAAGCATCAGATTCACCTGAAATGAGGGTTTCTTCAGATTTTGTGCCTTTTCCATACCAAATTAAGTGGAGCATCTTCTTTGCCTCCAGCCTGACTTAATTCCTCTGATTAATTATTATGAGGGACCCCGATTCCCTTTAAGTGTGAAAATCAGGTACAAAAGGGCATGATCGAGAGACAGCGGCAACATGGGTGTTGCCCTCTCTGATTAAAGAGATTACTCCGTACATGTGTGAGCATCTTTGCTCTCAGATAGACATAGACGTAGAATATGATCTGTGGATCGATACTATCCTGATGTGGCCCAAATCAGCTGTCTGCTTTTTTCCCTCAGCAGGGAGACTGATGGTATGTTTGAACCCAGCCAAGTGTTGGGTTTCCATAAAGGGCTATTAATTTCAATCTACATCTGAGTTGAATAACATTTTCATATTGATTTGAGACCTTTATCATCATCCAGAGTCTTTCCCATAACAGTCATGAACAGCGCCATCAATTCTGGCAATCAGCGTTAGCTCAAATGTTTCTGCTCCCACTGCAAATACGATATATTCTTATTAGAGCGACGGGCTTCAGAGAATTAATTATACATAAGAGATGTTACCTGAAAATATGTGGGGAAATTTCAGTTTGGATAATCATGCTCACAGTTTAATGTGAAAGTAGGAACTGGTGGTTTTGGTGTGCATCAACAGAAAATAAGTGTGTCATGGCTGTGACAGCCCTCAGGCTTGTCATAGTGATTTTCATGGTGTGCTTCCAAATGCACAAACATAGACTAGAATCTGCACGCTCTCATTGATGCTAGTCTCCCTTATTACTGGTTCTCTGTTGTGCACCGTGCACCACTGTAATGGAGTGCTTTACTGTTACTACCACGACTGCTGCATTCTGCTCTCAGCACAATCCCCCTTGCATTAAATAATGGAGCTGGCAATTGTGCATAAGCTCACCCCTCCTTGCTGTCCCACAGCAGCCAATATCAGCAAATTTCCGCTTGCTCCGCTGTCGTGAAGAGTAACTATGTCCAATTCAGCGTTTACAAGGCCAATGCTATAAACACAGTCGACACATTTACATAGCAGCGGCATCAAATGTTTGTATTGAGCACTTAATCTCCCCAAAGAATGCACATTGTGAATTTTCAATCTCTATTAAATAAGATTATCTTTCCTGATGTACATACTGGAAAAAATTCTTGGGCCACATTTGAATTCTTAATGTGTTGATGGGAAGCCAAAATAGAAGCAGGTATTTATTCAAACTCATCACATACCACTCTTGGCTTTTCAGTCTTGGACTCAGTTTTTGTTTTTTTTCTCTTTGCCATGCATGTAATGTGTGGTTCATTACATAAGTAAGATGATCATTGGTCATTAAACAAACAAAAATGTATACTTCTGATGGTAAAAGGACCAGAGTACAGAAGTGAGTGAAAAAGCAGCCACCACTGAAACTAGTTATGAAACCTTGGGAACTTTTTAAAAGATTAAGAGAACGTCTGGCTTTGACCAAAACGATTATAAATATGAGGGTAAATCATGAATAAGATATGAATATATGCTCACACAAAGTCACACATGATTACTAATTCAGCATGGGAGTAATTTAATACCACATTTCCACACATATAAAAGCGTTCATTTAAATGAAAAATGATTTCTTCTTAACCCACAAAACAATCCATCTAATTCCTTCCAGCCCCTTTTTACAGCCTAAAGGAGACCTTCTGGAGAAAGGGGATCAGACACATTTAGTGTTGATCCCTGCCCCCAGCAGCTCCTCTCACTTCATCCACCTCTGAAGATGAAAGGGGGGAAAAGGAAAAGGGATGGGAGACATATGTTGAGTTTTGGAAAAAGTCAATGTGAAAAGAGTTATGTACTTGATTTGATCCTGAATCAGTGACACTAATCTGCTCTGCCTAAAATAGAACTGCGCTTAATGCAGCTTCTGTGATGCTCTGGTGATGATATGTTTTGTAGAATTTATTGCATCAGTATGGTTCATACCAATTTGCATTACAATCAGCCTTATTGGGCAAACACTGATACACTTTAAACCTTCTGTCAAATTGCAGCAAAGCCTTAACCATGTGTAGAATGTGAGTGTGCACATACATTTATTAGAATTACAACTTCCAGTTCTGTTCTAGTCAGATCCATAAAAGAATTAGACACAATGGAGTTCATTATAGCTACAATTTATTAAGATTTGGTTTGTGGTTGCAGTTCCTGTCTTTCATCTGTACAAATCTCTGTGCTGTGCACTGCTTTGTGGTTCCAATGCAACTGGAGGGAAGTAGCTGAGCAGAGAAGGAACACTTCACAGGCCACAGTGGTACAACAGTTTCCCTTGATCAGTGGACTAGAATGGGCATGTGTGTGGCTGAGTTTGGTTTCTCTCAGGACCTGACATACACACACCCACACACACAAACTCATTGTCTCCATTCCTACTCCCACAGTAGCACAGATTGAAGTCAGTTTTGTCTTGACAGGATGATGAAGTGGTGCTCCAGTGCGTGGCCTGCATCCAGAAGGAGAATCGCAAGTTCTGCTTGGCTGCTGAAGGGCTGGGCAATCGACTATGTTACCTGGAGCCCACATCTGAGGCAAAGGTAGGCATTCTAACTCCAGTGTTGCACCCCTCGATTTCTCAGATCTAAAATAAAAAATCATTCAGTGGAACAGATAGATCTACATTACTAGCTTGGAGTGCCTCTGCTTTACCTCTTGGTCTAAAGTTACTATTCTGATTTTTTTTTACATTTTTTGGTTGCAGTTATATAATCAACTTTATGCACGTCCACATACTCAGACACTAATTTGATGAACAAATGCCACATGAAGCATTTTGCAGAAGAGTGGCCGGCATGAAAGGATGCATCCAACTGGGAGACATCCACCTAGTTTATTCTTGTGTAGTTCCAGCAAACAGTCAGGGAAGCCAAGCTTAGATGCTCAAAGAGGAAGCTCTGTGTGCCATCAAAGTGAGAACAACAGCTCACATCTATGGCATTCTCCTTCAGGAGCGTCTCTTAAAAGAGTTCAGCCGCGTGACGTCTCTGCAGACCTGCTGTCAGATGATAATACCCTGGAATTACAGCCCTGGATATGTTTGATGGATTGTTTTATAAGCAGCAGTGTTGTTAGCTGTAATTGCTTATTGCCTTTTTTGTAGCTGGGTGTATTTGCTGGTTCCAGCGCCTGAGTGCAAAGTTTTAACTAATGAAATTGAATAGTTTTCTGTCAAATGAAGTTGCCCACTCAATGCGTTTTTCTGTACAGAGCACAGGGCTACGACACCGACTCACGTTTGATGTCTGTGTCGAGAAACTCAATTTTTACAGACCCCCATAGCTCTGCTGGTCATCTAGGATTCCTTTTGCAAAGCGTGGAATTAAACCGCAGTTTATCAGCTTCTTCCACATTGATTGCCTTTTAATCATAGTCTATTAGTATTGTCTTGGATTAAGCTCTCTCAAATAGGCTTATACAGTGTGTGTAAACATTCGAGAGACACAGATGCTACCCAGGGAGAGAGGAACAAAATGAGGATACTGAGGAAATTGGAAAAGAAACCAGGGTTAATTAGAATTTGCATGTGAACAAAGATCCATGCACCACAGGCATTTCATGTTCTCCCAGACGGTATGAGTGTGTTGGATGGGAATGTTAGGCTTTCACCCATATTGGATGGTGATTACACCTGACAGGTGTGATGGATATTCTCTTTATCACGCACTTAATCTTCATTGCCAGCTGTTTTTTTTATGAAAAGGCATCGCCCCACCTTTGGGAGCAACGAGAGAGCTGTGGATAAACAAGCAAAACCCTAGGATCGTTTAGAGGTGGACATCTCAATAGGATGCCTCCTTTTCTTGGTAAACTAGTCCAGTAATGGGGCAGAGAACCAAGTGGCATGATGAGGTTGATTTAAAGCGTGCACGGTTTAAATGGCAACATCAATCAGCCTGTGAAAAGCTGCTAGATTTTGATATACAACCAGCTGCTCTCGGCTGTCAGAGACTCAATATTATTACCACTGGAGAGATGCCCACCTACCGATATGGAAGGGATGCCGCGTCTTTGTTGTGTGTGTAATACACGGGAACAGATCAAGCCATGTCCAACAGGTATTTGTACATTAAAGCTCTTCCTTTACAAACCAAATTTCAGTTGAGCCGAAGTAACACTCTCCTCTCCTGGGTTATCAGCTTTAACATTTTTGATCTGCTCTCCAGAGACAGAAATAAAGATGGGAACTATTCTTCAGCACCATTCAGCTACACCTGTTTATTCGTCACACAGTTAGTCATAAACCAAAAGTCTGGTATGACCTGTTTGCTCTAAAGCTGTATCCAGCTCGGTTATAGAGAGTGTCATCCCCCTCTGCTGTCCTAGACATTTCTCTGTCCTAGTCTTGGAAGTTACTGGATGTTACTGTGCCATGACCGAAGAGAGGAAAGGTCAGCTCTTACTCATTTGAAAGATGAGGGTAAGACCTGATTGCTGGATTTCAGACCCTTTTATTTGGTTTCTTCAGTGACTTTTAGAGATGAAATACAGAGGTAACACAAATAGCTGTGACGCATCCATTCTGTTTGCACAGAGCTTGATGTCTTTTCATGTGCGTGTTTTATTCCTGCAAAGACATTGTGGAGAGAAATTGTGCTTTTCACATCTGTTCAATCACTCGAAGCTGGCCAAGAATATGTTTGCCCTGAGGTACAAAACACAACAGCAGAACCAAGACACTACAATATACAAGATGTCAGGGTTTATAACAAAAGACCTCTGCAGCGTTTCATTAAGCAAAAATCTGTTTGAGCAACAAAAAGTAGAATAAAAAAACTATACACTGAAAGATCTTTGGAAAGGTGGACACAGGAAGCCTGTCTTTAATACAAGCTAGACATCTTGCACCGTCCATCCATTTTCTATTTTTTCCCACTCCTTGCAAACCGTGTTTAAGGGAATATTGCTAAATATGGAAAATGACACCATAAAGTAGATGGTTTAAGGTAATGTCATGAATATATACGCTCTTAATTGTTTTTTTCCATGGGTGTTTAAACTGTGTGGTTACATAAATGCACTATTTTGAGCTGAAACTGGACTATAAATAAGTTTTTAAGTGAGGCTAGAGTCACCTGTGTGAATGATCCACTTAGGAAAGAGTTGAGGTACTCAGGCCAGCAGCAGCCAGGGTTTTCAGGTTGGCATCATTTATCTTGCGGCCACAATATCCCCATCGCTGTTTTCCTCATTCTGTCAGTGAATTGCTTGTCCTGTCTGGTTTTGCCCTGGTTTGGAATGTGATTTGGCAACTTCTCTGTTTCTCTGAAAGTGCATTTTCCAAGACCTGGCTTACTTGAGCACAGACTGACCTGAGAGCACTTAATGTTTTAAAGCACCTGTAAATGAATTCTGCCCACTCCATTAAGACAAACTTCATTTGAGAGGCCCCAAAATGCACCCGTCAGCACAGATGTTATGAGTGGGCATCTAATCATTAATATCCCTGTCACCCAGAGAGCAGTTTTCTTCCCAGGGTTATGAGCATGAGTAGCGAATGAGAAGAAATGTGCTAAGACAAAATAAGTCTTGGGAAAAGCTTTTTATTATTATTATTCTGGCTTAGAACAGTGGTTTGACTGATTGTACTCCTATAGACACACAACTTCCCCCTTCAGCCTTTATATGAGGTTTGTACTATAACTACTACCATTTCTATACAGTCTGTGAGGGTAGCTACTTGTTATCTATATGTATACATATATCGTATACATACAATATATGTGGCTGGGGCTTCCTATTATGTTCACGATAGCAGATGGCTTTAGGTTTGTTTGTTTTTTATTGCTCTTCTTGCTCATATCTTCTTACTAACTGGACTCCAAATGGATTCTTGATCATATCCAGTACCAAAGCTTTTGTCCTTGGCCAGTAGGTTCTGCATTTAAAGTTACTAAATTTGTTTATTGAGATAAGGCCAAGCAGAACAGACATTTGACATCACCTATAACAACTGATCAGGATCCTCACCAGTTATCTGCCAACACATCAACTAGTCAGAGTCGAGCATCACTCTGACTGAGCCAGCGAATAATCTCCCAGCTTTGAATTGAGCTCTTTTCTTTTCTTTCCTCCCCCCCCCAGGAGAAAAAAAAAGACAAAATAGAGGTCACAAGGAAACGCTAGAAAGAAGCAGCCCACGGAAGCTTCTTAATAAGACCATTCGACCATTTCGTTTCTAACCTAAGAACCACTGTTGTTGCAGTATGTGCCTCCAGACCTGTGCATCTGTACCTTCGTGCTGGAGCAGTCTCTGTCAGTGCGGGCCCTGCAGGAGATGCTGGCTAAGAGCGGAGAGAACAGCGAAGGGGTGAGTGATGGAAAACACAAATTCTTACCGACACACTCAGAGCATTCAGCTCAATATAGGTCATCCCTAAGTCAAGCCATGCATACCCCACGTTGTTTCCAGACACATTTGCAATGAATACATACTTGAAGGTTCTGAAATTGTTTTAGTCACCGCAGAGGTTAATTGGGAAATAGGCCAATTGCACTGACCTGGGCGCCCTCACTGGAGAGAGGTCCAAGCCTCTATGAATATTGATGATGATGAAGGGGAATGTCCTATCATTACTGAGGCTGCTCCTCAATTGCCGCATGCGCTTTGGCCCTTTGACTAACACCAAGGCTTGAAGAAAAACAGTATTATTGAATCAGTCTAGTTAGATATGTTCATTTTAAACATGGAATCAGTGTTTCAGACATCAACCTGAAAGTGGAGTTAGATCTCTGGATTTTTCCAAGAGCTGTTATTGACAGTAAAGCAAAGCAGTAGAAATCTACAGATGTAAACTATGTTCATTCGTTGTCTTCTTGCCTCTTCTGTGCCTCCTTCTCATTTGCATTGCTTTAACATATGTGTAATTCTTCCATCTTTATCTTCTGTGTTCTGTGTATAATCTCCATCGTCTGCATCATAGACTCGAGGCCCGAATCGATGGGTATGTTCACCATTCATGCCATTCCTCCCTCATCCTGCATGCATAACTCAGCAGAAACATATCATAGTCCCTAATTTACTCATCTGTTCTTTCATTATTGATCTCCTGTGGTTTCTCCCTCTCAGTGTGTCACCACTGAACATTTGTCTTTACATTAGAAATCATGGGAAATCATAGTTTATTACACACTGAAGCCGATGCTTTGAAATAACTGATTATTGTATAGATTTTTTGTGTACACAGTGTGAGTAGATAGTGTCTCGTGGGGTTTGGTATAAGCCTCTCAATAAGGCTCTTTTCGAATATCAATTCTCACTTCTATAGCTGGATAGTTTGAGTGTCTCCAATGCTGGATTAGCATCAGATTAGCATTTGTCTTTCCCTCAGGGGATTGAGCTGGATGTTCATTACAGTATCATTTAATTTTGTGCAGCCCACCACGCTGGATCAGCACTCATTTGTCACAGCCTTTTCCCGCCGTCACAGTGGTCGTGTGAGATACTGTGACATAATACAAATAGCTTGGCTGACATTTCTTTAAGGAAACATCAAATAATCACAAGAGATGTAGCTTCAAAATCTCCGGGACTGACTCTTAAAAGCTTATCTCTGTTTACAATGTATTGCTAGATGGCCAATTACTGTAACATTTCCAATGCTCCTCTTTTGTGGAAATTGTTAGACTGAGATAAACGAAAATTAACAGGAAGCTCTTATTCACATCTAATTTATTTCATGACAATGATTGCAGAAATCTAATATACATCATAAACAAAGAGTCTTTTAAAAAATAGAAGCCTGTTTACGTTTAGTTTTTAGTCGGAAAAACGCCCTCGCTTTATGTCAATCGAAGCAGGGAATTTTTTGTCACTGTAGCTGGAAAAATTCTGGAAATGTTTTCAACTTAAACGGGTTTAATATTGTAAAGCGTCACATCTGAATGTTTTACAGCTAATGAAACTTTGTAGCCTCTGGAGATGTTGGACTTGAGATTGCCATTTCCTCTTTGATACTTCAGCGCATCCTTTCTGCTCATGTTTATCTGTTTTCAATATTGTCTACCCATTCATCATTCTTCTCCAGTGTTGAAATGTCACTAGCGGAAGCACCATTAAAGGGGAAATGGAGGTTGAATATGTCTCGGCTGAGGCTCTGAAATCAATACGTCTTTGAACAGATGGACTTATCAATAGGCAGTGGCTGGAGCAAATGGTTTGTTCATGCCGGTTTAGTCGGAAGTCAGCGAGACGTGTTGAGGTCCCTGCAAAAATTAAATACAACAACTCGTGCAAATGCCAACCCCAATTTAAATCAGCATCCATCAGCACTGACCAATTTTTGGAGGGGTGCTGGTCAAAAAGGTCAAGTGATGCAATCCGTTGGTATATCTAAGCAAAAAAGTAAAGTAAAGTAAAGTGGTGTACTTGGGGTTCTTTCATCCCCTGTTCCTCCGTTGTTTTCATCCTTGGTTTGCAATACTGTAACCATATATTAACTGCTGCTGGACTCAGTCTCCAGGTTTATGCAGGTGGATGAATCCTACAAAATGTCAAACGTCTAAATTAATATGAAGGCGTCTCTTGTGGTCAAGAGCTCCACAAAACATACTTTTTATTAACAGTTTTGTTTTTTTAACTGTCTGTAATGTAAAAGAAGTCTTCTTTTAGGTCTATTCATCCAGGATTGTTATGTTTGCTCATTTATTCTGCCTTTAGAAAAGCCCTTTTCTTACTAAGGACGCATTGTTCAGCGTTCGTAGCGAGCATTAGACTTATGGGTATTGGTTAGGGTGATTTCAGCTCGATGTGCCTCGCTGCATTAAGCTCAGTAGCTCAGCCAGCATATAACCATAGCCAGCAGCACAGAAGAAGCCTTGAAGCCAGTGCTGCAGTGCACAACAGAACTGCATCAAATCACAGTCGGGCTGTTGTCCCGGCACCGATCGAGGAAAATATAATAAGCGGAAGAGAAAAAAAAGGCATTAACAAAAGAGAGATTACATGGCCCAGCCATGCCTACATGTGTCAGATGTTAGATGATGATAAAAAAAGTCCCCTCAGTGACATTTGGCAGACACTTTCTCCGGCAGATATAATATTGTCCTGCAGTCTCTGTTTCTGGTTAATTTGGCGTTTCTGTGTTCGATAAATATTTGGCAATGATGGCTACATTTTTTTTTCATCATGGCAAGAACATTGCTTTGCCAAATACCAAAAACAAGTTTACTTGTTTCCCCTTACTCCTTTACCTCCGTATTGGAAAGGATTCCTGGTTCCCTATTCCCTCAGAACAATAGCTTACCCTGAATAATCCTGCTCTTTCTTGCCTTAATGCATCCTAGAGGCTCATAAGAAAGGTGAGTAACATAGGAGGTGCTTGCCATAGAAAATCAGCAAAAGCTCCTTTTAATCCCTTTTGAATCTCTACCAGTAGAGATTCCATTTGTCCTCCACTTCCTGCATCTTAACCCGACCACAGATGCTATAAAGTCATTCCTTGCTAGAGACTGACAGTAGTTGTGCATCCCTCCCACATTTCCCTAGTCGGGAAAGATGACCCCGTATCCGGCTTGCTCACGGATACAGGAGCCCATAACTCCATCTTCTTGTGGGCCAGTCAGATTGCATGTCTTCATTGGAAAAAGCCCTCCTGAGGAAATATGTGCCCCCTGCTTGAGGTCAGCGGTGCCAGTGAGGAGGTATTCACTGAGGTCAACATTCAGTGTCAGAGGTCTGGCGGGTGGTTGAAACCAAAGGTGGACCGATGAGTCTTTTTTTTGAGGAGCTCCCACTGACTTGTTTCGTTTGTGCGTGTTTGTGTGTGTGAATTATGTCTGCAGGCGGCACAAAGCGGCGGACACAAGACTCTGCTCTATGGCCACGCCATCCTGCTGCGGCATACCTTCAGCTCCATGGTAAGAGATTGCACGCAACCCCCACGAAAGAGTAAATTCAGCAGGATTTCGGAGTTATTTTTTTAGCTTATCAGCATTATCAGCATGTCACCAGTAGAGAAAAAGGGTATGTGACGGCTCCTGTCTCTTATGGTTTCCGTGTGTGTGCTGACCACAGTACCTGGCCTGTTTGAAGACTTCAAGGTCACAAACAGATAAGCTCTCCTTTGATGTCGGGCTGCAGGAGGATTCAACAGGTAAAAGAGAAGCTTTGTTTCTGCTCCTGCTGTCTCTTTCTGCCTTTTTTTTCTCCTGCTCTGTCTTATCTTTGCACCTCATTTACTCATAACTGAATTTCGCTGTGCTTCTTCTCGGCGTCTCTGATAATATACCCCGTGGAAGGCCGCAGCCACACAGTCTACCTTTGTTACAAATATGTAGAACAGATGTAATCATTGTGTTTAGGTTATATTACACAGATTTGTTAGTTTTTTCTATCATGATTCTTGGTCCTGTTTTTTTTCTTGCTTCTTTAATTCAATCCCTTCACAGATAAAACGCCACCGTGTGCAGTAGATGGGTAGATATTCCAGCACAGCTGCCAACACTAAACCGAATTAACCAAACAGTGAGGGTTAATAGAACTTTTAGGGTGCAGCTGTGAACAGCAGCAACTAAACTGTTAAGTGGATTGCTAGATTTTGAGACAACCCAAAACGGTTAGGGTATTGTTTTGCCTTCGATAGAACAGTAAAAGCATCATGTGAAATAGCATGTTGACGTGTTTCTTTGTGTAGGTGAGGCCTGCTGGTGGACCATCCACCCGGCCTCCAAACAGAGGTCAGAGGGAGAGAAAGTCCGCATTGGTGATGACCTCATTCTTGTCAGCGTGTCCTCTGAGAGATACCTGGTAAGTTTGCTGTTTGCCATTGGTCCCGTGAAGTTTGGTTAGAGTGGATGTGTGCGTGTGCATAAAGTAGAGATCCTAGAAGGAGAAAATTGACTCTCCTTTCCCTGATGTGACAAAATTTCTGATAAATTTTTATCCTTTCACCCCATGTTCTACTTACCTAATCGCACCTCTCCAGTACGGGGCTAAGCATTTAAAGCAACAACTTGTTTTTGTCTGTTACATTTAACAAAATTTAATTTGGTCCGGAAGATTTTGATGTCTTTATGCTGGTGCCAGAGCCATTCCAAATCAGCCTCTTCTCTCATCATCCTTGTCAATCTCTCCTACTGATCCTGGTATGTAGTTTTGAACTTGTGAACTGGCCTTTTTTTTTTAGAAAAGACGCTCTTTAAGCAGCATGCAAACCTTGTCATGAGCTTATCATCAAAGCAGAGGCTCGACATCCTGGAGAAATGTTCGCTGTGATTTATGAAGTAGACGGCAGCAGCCAGGCGGCATTTACCCTCCACAAAGTGGGTGTGGCACAGATGGATGACCTCCACCACCGTACAGTCACAAATTTCAGTCTGATAGTTAGTCCCAGCTGTAAGCCACATAGTGATGTCAACACCTAAGGGCAGCGGAGAGACTTAGTGGAGCCGGGATGATGAAGACACGGCGCCCACACAGCGTCAATTCGAAATTCACAAACATTGCATTAAACTTATTTGACTTAAATCCTCAAAGGTCAAAAACGTTTAACACATCTGCCAGTCGCCTTCAGGATTCCCACATCATTAAAGAATGGATTGAAGTTTTGTTCTGCGTCAGGTTTAAAACTCCAGCTGAGCTCATGTCGTCTTCAGTTTTCATGATGACTCCGTTCTGTCACACGATATCAATTCAGTGTCAAATGTCCAAGATGATAATTCCCTTTTATGATCAAAAACTGCTTGATCAGTCAGATCAGTCCTGAGTACTGTTCCGTTCTTTGCTGGGCTTGCAGAAAAAAATGAGTGTTTCGTGTGTTTTTCTTTACCCCACAGCACTTATCCATTTCCAACGGCAACATCCAGGTGGATGCTTCATTCATGCAGACGCTGTGGAACGTCCACCCCATCTGCTCTGGTAGCAATGTAGAAGAAGGTAGAGACATCACACATCCAATCAATCCATTTGATGTCAGAAGGCTTCCAATGCAGCTCCTCTCATTTTAGCAGACAGAAGTGGACAGGGCAGCAGACTCTAAAAAGAGCCTCAAATAATTAAATGTGGAAAAAATGATCTCATATCTCAACCTGACCAAAAAATGAATATCTGAAATACAATGTGGGTGACTTATAGTTTTGATGGGTACATCCCGTGCTCTGAGGTGAAAGAAAAAAAGAAAGAAAAGCATTAGTAGTAGTATGGCAGCAGTACTCACAGGGAGAGTGTGGGTATGAAAGATCATTTCTGCATATTTCACAGGGTCATAGGAATTCACTCTACTCTGAGCATTCAGTTGAAAATTGCCCTGAAAAACTCATTATACTGTAATTTAATCAATTTTTTTCTTAAATGATGAAAATATTAACTCATCCTGTTAAAATCCAATGTTTAGCTTAATTTTTGTAAACTTAAGTAAGCCTTACGGCAAAATCAAATTGTCCTCTGTGGGGAAATTTTTTGTTGTTGCAGCTTTTTTGGGTACATTTAAATGTTCCTGTAGGCTATGATAGAAAGCTATCAAAGCTCAGAAATACAGTCATCAACCAAACAAAAGACCAGTGGGTCGCAGCCCTCCTGAACCACATATCATGTTTTATATTTGGGAAAGAGCTCAACGGTCAATGTGTTCATTTGTGCGTGCGTATGTACGTGGGACAAATAAGACGTGCTGTGTTGCATTTAGCGCTGGTACATCAAGAAGTCATTTATGAATGTATGTGTAAATGTGTTTAGTATTACAAAGGCTTTCAGTGGTTAGAAAGAAGCCCTTAAGCTGCCAGAAAAATGTGGTTCAGAAAATGAATCATACTAATTAGTCAACAAAGATCCCCAAGGATTCAAAACCTCTTTCTTACAATCATTCAATAGCAAGTTTTTAATGGATGTGATGATGCAAAGATGGATGCTTATCGTATCTGGAAGAACAGACAAATTGTGAAAGTGCTCTTTTAATTTTTACAATGCTGTTGTGATCTTGAAAATAGTCCAATTATCTATCACTGAGCTGATTCAAAACAGTAAAAACTGTAGTTACTAGATTTGAATATTGTACATCTCCTCCTCTGGAAGGGTACCTGCTGGGTGGTCATGTGATGCGCTTGTTCCATGGTCATGATGAGGTGGTGACCATCCCGGGATCAGACCAGAGCGAAGAACAGCAGAGGTGCGGAAACAGTCCCAGCTATCAGCCAGTAGACACATACGGGATCTGTGGGTTAACTGGTATCTTTGCTTCCCTCATCCTTCAAGGAAATCCACATGCAGTGTTACACATGTCTTTCCAGGCATTTCAAATAGATGCTGATGTTATTTATTTTTTTTTAGCCCAAGTGTAGCTAGAGTAGAAATAAAAATGACACTTGAAGTGGGTCAGAACAGCGGGCACGGCTCATACACACGAGCCAAGCGCCGGTAAATCCGCTGCTTCCTTTTTGAACACACACACGTACTCACACACTTTCTATTTTTAGAACAGAGCCTGGCAAACATGGGGGCGGGAGTCGTTGCTAATTTTAGCTCTCGCTTTTGTCCTCGTGTTGTCCTTGAAATTCAACACAAAGAGCTTTCTTTTTTTTAGAGGTCTCGAATTTTTCTGGGGCAGATCAAACGCACTCCAGGCCGCCGTCACCATGGGGTGATGAGTGTTTTCTTTTATCTTTGGACCCAGTCACCCATATCACTGATAGACAGTGTAGCTGTGGTTTTATCAGGGCACACACGTCTCGGTTTGAATGATGTGATGCCGTTGTCGGCAGAGTGTATACAGCCCGTGTCTTAGTGTGTGCCTGGGTTTAAGTCAAACATGCCGCTAGTGAATATCAGGGTGACAAATGAGAGCGGCAGAAAGAGGGGGCATTCTCCCAAGCTAGGATGGATGACCTTGGCATTGTAAGTGGTGGCTAGACAGTAGACAGTTGAAACATCCACAGACGGGCCGGCGGCTCATGCTTTTCTGGCCTCCTCAGGATAGTCAACTATGAGACGGGCAAAGCAGGTGCCAAAGCAAGGTCCTTGTGGAGGCTGGAGCCACTCCGAATTAGGTGGGTTGTGTTAAATTGGATCTCCTCTTTTCTGTCATTCATGCTCTATTTTATTTGGTTTTGCTTACATGACACAAGAAAAGGAAAGATTACCAATTATATACTCTGATCTAAACCAGAGATATCTTAAAGTTTCATCATTTTGCATATTCTTGTGTGAGTGTATAACAAAAAAGTCAGATTCCCAATAAGGGAGATTTTGCTCACAAATCTTCCAGATTTTTTAAATAGATGACTAAATCCAACTGTGATCTAAAAGCAACACATCAGCACAATTCAGCCAATAAAGTCTTTGTTTTGTAATGATAGCTTTATGTGGAAAGATTTCTGTTTTGTTACAGCGTATAAAGCTATACTTTCCTTTTTAATGAAACTTCCTATTCTAAGGCTAGTGGTTGAAATAAAAAGCTCATGTTGTAAGCGTAGCTCAACTCTTTAAAAACGAAATACCATCAATCTTCCATTTTCTATGTCTTACCTGTTTTTCAACAAGTGTTTAGGTTCCTAAACAGAGGAAAACATAATTACAGAAATTATTCGAGCTATTTCCTTTGCGTATTTCTGTTACATCCACATGCAACGAATAACAGCTGTTTTTAGATATGCTAGTTATCAGAAAGCTGTTTGCTTCTCTGCTCTCTGAATGTCTTTGCTTTAACTGGGCAGCTGGAGTGGGAGCCACATCCGCTGGGGCCAGCCGTTTCGACTACGACACCTGACCACTGGTCACTACCTGGCTCTGACTGAGGACAGGGGGCTGGTCCTACAGGACCGGGAGAGGTCTGACACAGTGGCCACGGCCTTCTGCTTCAGAGCGTCAAAGGCAAGGATATTGCACACAGAGGCAAACACACAGAAGCATTTATGCATTTGAGTCCCCACTGTTCCTCAAGGGGATCTGTGTTACATGTGATCAGCTAGAGACTTCCCTCTTAGATTGAAATGATCCCCTTTAAACCTTTACAAAAGAACCACCCACAATCATTAGGCTGGAAAATCACCACGTCTATCCATGACAATGAAAACTAAAAGACTTATTGGTCCAGTGGAAACTACACCGTTGAGGTTAATTGAGTTGAATTTGCAGACTCCATCTGAACAAACCATTTAGCTGTACTTGGTGTAATAGCATTGCTAGGTATGAACACTGGTTGTAGAACAATCAGTGACCCTTAAAAAGTGGATGTAAAGCGCGTTGCTTAAATTATAATTGAAGTAATTTATCACTGGATGTCCACTTTGGTACCCTCCATTGTGATGAGTGGTGCAATAAACAGCAGATGCAGCAGACATGTGTGTGGAGGTTTGATTTCAGGACAAATTTGCATGCTTTTTGCATTTGTTTGCCTTGTGCCGGCGTGTTCATGTTTTTCAAATCCCAGCTTTCTTCGTTTTCTACTCCCCTGTGCAGGAGAAGCTGGAGCAGAGCCCCAAGCGGGACATCGAGGGCATGGGGGTGGCAGAGATTAAATATGGGGATTCACTCTGCTTCATCATGCACATGGCCACGGGGCTGTGGCTCTCTTACCAGGCACCTGATGTTAAATCTGCTCGTCTGGGTCCTCTGAAGAGAAGAGTGAGTGGTGACACACACAAAAGCAAAACATTTCTAGATGCAAGTGCAAATCTCAACAAATTGAATTAATGTGCGAGTAATATACTTCAGAGTAGATTAAAGGAAACTAAGTTGACTGGGTCAGGAAGATTGTGCTTTGTTTCTATCTCTGCCTCAATTAAATATATACCCTGTCCCTTCGCTCCTCTAGCAGAAGACATAGAGAAGTACGTGCAGTAATGTGTTTGACAAGGTGTTCTCAATGTAATCGCTGCCAGATAGCCTATAGTGTCAGCACCTGTGTTCCAGACACAGTGTGTCTTAGAGCAGTTTGCAGATCCTGGAAACAAGGGTTTTCATGAAATACTTATTTTATCTGTCTTTCCCTATATATCTATCCCTATATATATCTATATATCTATATATATGGAGATATCACCTATATATCTACATCATTTCGCCTTCATTGCCCTTCTCCCAAGGCGTGTCTACATTCTGAGGGTCACATGGATGACGGGCTGACTCTTCAGCGCTGCCAGCATGAAGAGTCCCGTGCTGCCCGGATCATCCGCAACACCACGCTACTCTTTAACCGATTCATCAGGTATCAAACTGAACAAAGCCTGCTACCATGTCACTCACCTCCGTGCACTGTGATATGGTGGTTCAATTGAAATTGAATTACCATTCACATTTGTCTTTTGACACTTTACTAGGGTCATTTGCAAGATGTGGGTTCACGAACACAGGATACATAAGTATCCAGGGATGGTGGAGGAGGGTAATTAATATAGATGATAAAACCATGTAATTCCACCACATCACCAAATTATATAGCTGACGACATAAAGTTGACAACCCACTGTGGCCCCAGGCTCCCACACTGTCCAAACAGTTATAGAATCAGACTGTGACCAGTGGAGAGTCAAGCTATGTGAGTTTGAATGAGTGGGGTGCCAAAAAAACATGATGGCTCATTCAGTGAAGCAGTCATGTGTCTCCAAATGCCAGCCGCCCTAGCAGTGTCACGGCTCCGCACAGCCTACCGTGAAAAAAAAGATCTGTGGCACAGAAGTGGATGCTGCCATTACCTGTTACCCAAGGGCCCCGCCGTCCCCTGGGTCAGGCTGAGGGGCACTTGCGGTGGAAAACGCAGGAGAGGCTGTCAGCCTCCCCTTTGGCTATGACACATACATCTCCCTGCTCGCCCTCCTCATGCATACAACAGGAGCTATTTTTAGACGGCCAGTGGAAATCAGTCTTTCCACATGAATGAATTTGTGGGCTAAACATTGAGTTAGTCATCACGGCCTATCCTGAAGTCAGTACAGCCTCCCAATTATATGAGCTTCTTCCGTGGAATCATTATATTTGTGATGAATAGAAATAAATTATATGCATAGATGTATACATATATGTACGTGAATGTATGTGTATATGTCTGTATATCTATCTGTCCATATCTATGTATGTCCCCCATCACAGAGACCTCGACTGTCTGAGTATGAAGAACAGAGCACTGGTGGCCCTTCCTGTCGAGGAGGTTCTCCAAACCCTCAATGACCTCATCACCTATTTCCAGCTTCCGGATGCTGAGCTGGAGCACGAGGAGAGGCAAATCAAGCTCCGCTCCCTCAAGAACAGACAAAACCTCTTCAAACAAGAAGTGAGATTTAGGGAAACTACTGCCTCGCGAAATATCAATTAATAATATCCCCACCTGCTCTGCAGTGCAGCAGAAAGTCGGTGTGATTGGGGGCAGTTCAGTAAGTGACGGCATGCGGGATTGAGCCCATTGCAGAGGCAAACCTACAAAAGTGTGAGAGAGGCTAAAGCAATTGATCCTTTGTGGCGTGTTTCATTGCCAACCAGTATTTGGAGGCGCTGCATATGAATGTGTCAGCAGTTTTTGTATTATAAGTTTTCCCCGAGGCGAGCATGAGTGCACTGAAGCTTCCTGCTAAGCCGCTGGGGCCTAAATTGCTTTCATCAATTATGATATGTCTGCTGCTTTACTGAAGGGCCCTGTGATGTCAACTATCGAAACTGCCCTTTAATCACTCTGGCTAAAGCATAACGAATATATCAACAACTTTGAAAGACCTCACATCAGTATAAATGAATGAAATGCAACGTGTTTTTTTATTTAAAAAATAACATTATCCTAAAAATCTATTGAAAAGATTTTAGCCCAGTATTTAGTTTTCTCCTCAGTCTCAATATAACAGACATAAATAGACAATCCCTATCCCACCCCAAGCTATTACATCCAGAAAGCCAATTTGTCACTGTACTCAGCTGACTCACGACTTTTCCCGACATTACAAATCACCTGCAATTTCCACTTTGTCTTTGAAGTCATCCATTTCGCACATCGGATCACTGTAGATATTTCTCTGTCGCGTAAATCACGTAAATCACTGTGACGCGGCCACCAAATGGCACAGCCCAGAGCTTCGTTCAGGATGGTCAGCTAATTGAAAGCAGGTGACAGATTTCACCAATTAGGCTCTCATACTAATCTGAGTTTGTCATTAATGGTAGACGGCTCAATATTCAAGTGTTGCCAAATCATCACACAGCTAAACTTCAAAAAAGTGTGATGAATACAGTATTACAGAAAATGAAAATCAACAATATTTCTGGGCTTTTTAATACTTGTCATTGGACTTCTTGCTTCTTTTTGTCTTGAGATTGAGATGGACCTTTGCTAAAACATCAATGACAGCTTATTCATGAAGGTTTTATTGTCACCTTTAATATTAAAAACACAACCTTCAACACAAAATTTAACAGTTGATTTTGTGAAACATTATTCAGTAGCACTTATCCATCTGAAAACTTCAGGAAGGTTGTATGGGTGTAAAAGTGTCCTGTTGTGAATAATTGCTACGGATGATTTACACCTTTTTTTTAACTAACTAATGAGAGTTGTCCATCTGGAAATCATTTAAAATGGTTTGACCCTTCAGTGTCTGTACTTACTTTTAATAATCTAATCTAACAACATAAAAACATTAGATGGGAAAAGTATTCACATTTTACATTAAGAAGTTAAAGAATTATTTATTTGCCCATCCCGTGTGTGTATTTTTTTTAATGTGTTATTGTGCTTTTCTTTTTTTAGGGAATGCTGACACTTGTGTCAAACTGCATCGATCGCCTGAATGTCTACAATAGTGCGGCTCACTTTGGGGAGTGCGCTGGGTCAGAGGCTGGAGCAGCCTGGAAGGACATCCTAAACCTGCTCTATGAGCTACTGGGTAATAAACCAGTAACACATATGTATGTACAAACCCACACATTTAGAAAGTCTTTTCCAGATGAAGTAGTCGAAGGTTCGAGGAGTCAGATTTGTTTTGACATCATTAAGCAGTCATTTACAGATCCCTCCAGTTGTTGAGTTCACCATGAAATCTCTGAATATACACAAATGAAGACTTGGTGGCCAGTGGCCCATTACACATAAAACATTGTCCGGTCCATGGGCAGTGGCCCAACAACAGCAGACAGTCCAGACCCACACACACATAAACGCAACAAGTTTGGGTGTTCCCTCTTGGCACAGTTGACTTTTTTGAACGTTTGTTTTCATCATGGTGTCATTATCTGTTTTGTCTGCTTGTTCCTGAGTTGCTCTTTGTGTCCCTGTGATTTAATGTCATCAGCCTTCCCCATAAAACAACCACAAGTGCCTGCAAAGAGTAAGGAAGAGGAGACAGGTGAATGGGAAGAACAATGTCAGAATAATGATTTTTAAATGCAATGCAAATGACCCAACTGATGCAATAACCCAGCTAAAGGGAAAAATTCAAGGACTCCGCTTTCAATATCACGTATCAAGGACAAGTGACAATGCTCCCAAAGTCTGACTCCCTGAGACTGTGCATTAAGGAAGAGAGTTAGGGTGCTAGTGAGCCTCAGAGCAACTGTTCAGGATGAAACTACAGATCCAGGGATTCATCACTAAGATGTCCCCCAGTGACGATCTGCTTGGCGGTCGCCTCAGGCCGCGAGAGAGGAAGAAGGCATGCGACCCCCAACGCGGGAAAGAAGCGGCTGGTTTGGATCAGCCGCTACAAAACGCTGTTCTGAAGAAGCACGGAGGCCCTAACCACGGCAGATCATCACAGCGCTGAGCACAAAGCAGCTCAGGCTGGGGTCTACCACACAAAACGGGACCCCAGAAGCAGATTGTGCAAAGAGGAAATTTCTACTGTCCCACACATAGTAGCAGGATGGAAGATACAGTGATACAATGAAAGATGTCCCTCATTAAACACCTCTGGAGAAAAACTATATTCATGTGCTCTCCTGATATGGAAAACTTTAAGTCGAATTTTTGTCAAAATGTTATACTTAATAAGCTAGTCATTTACATGTATATGTCTCGTTCGTCAAGAGAGAATTGGAGTGTGCCAGATGCAGGGTTAATCTCTGATCTTGCCTCTCAAACCTCCATTCACCCTTCAAGAGTGTCCTTCACACTCCTGTTTACACTGATTTCACCCTTTGGCTCAAATTAGTCTTCCAGCCACGTCTCTGTTGCCCTGTTCCCTCCTCCACGCACCTGCTGCAGTGCTAAGTGGATTTGGGATGCCTCCCTCCTTTCTTCTCTGTCTGTCTCCATTGGAGAGGGATACATTATCTGGGCGTGTTGGTGTTTTCTCCTTGTCCCACTCCCTCACCGCATCTCATGCACCCTCCGAAATTAATATGTATTAGAGTGTCAGAGCTGCACCTCTCCCTTAACTTCCTCTGGCACAGATTTGTAGTCTCCACCTTTGGGTGACATTGTTTTTTGTTGTTATGCAAGAGATCAAGTTTCGAAATATAGTTGAAATGACTCGATCAAACCTATTCATTCTTCATTCAGTCGGAGTCAACGCACACTGTTTGCTTGTGACTTGCAGCGGCGTTAATCCGAGGGAACAGGAACAATTGCACCCAGTTTTCTAACAACTTGGACTGGCTGGTGAGCAAGTTGGAAAGACTGGAGTCTTCTTCAGGTACACACGTCATTCTAACACACACTTAATGTGTCCTCCGGTAACTGTGAAGTCTTTTAAGGTAACAACCCGGACAACACAGACTAAGTTCTTTTAAAAGGGGCTTAACTGCTGTTGCTTTTGTATTTTATATTTATAGGTCAGACTGTACCAGAGGCCCCTCAGTTTTCTCTGTGCACCATGAGGACTGGATGTCTCTGACATGTCCTCTACTGCTTCTTTTTCTTGCGAGAGTGTTGACTAATTGATGAATTTTGTGGTTGCGCAGGCATCCTGGAAGTTCTGCATTGCATCCTAATTGAGAGTCCTGAGGCTCTCAATATCATCCAGAGAGGACACATTAAGTCCATCATATCACTGCTATACAAGCATGGACGCAACCACAAGGTGAGCATTAAGGAGCAGCGCTACAGTCAAGTGTTAATGCAGGATGCTGTTGTGATATGAAACTCACCTCTGGGCTCTGGTTTTATTATAATGATTCTTTAGGCCCAGAGAACGTGGTACACTGAAAAAAAACACGTATATTTGGTGTACTAGTTTATGGTGGTGTAAAACATTTGAATATATTCTTAGTAGACTCTTTTATATATTTTTCTTTCTCACAGTGTGTAGTCTTCCCTATGCATTTACTCATAAATAATTAGAGTAATTTTCTTAAGTGAATGGAGTTGACCTTTGAAGAGGAGGGCAGTGGTTGCTGGGTGGCACTGGAGACATGTTCATAAAATCCTATAATGGATGTGTCGTGCTCTAATTAAAACCTTTGAGAATATTTACAGGGTACAATAAGATCAAAATGGGATAAGAAACATGTCCCAACGGTGACTTGACAGTGAATAATTCAGCTTTCTCATTTACAGTTTAAAAACGGTTTAAAGTAGAATATTGCATGTAAATTGTCTCTGTATATGTTTGATCAGTGTGGCTGCAGTGGAACTTGGTCTGATGAACATAAAGACAAATAGTATATTGAGTATTCTGCTATTTCATTTATCTAAAGCCAGATGTTTCAAAGCAATGCTCAGCACTACTTGGAGATTTGTGTTTGTTGCTTTCCACTTGTTGCCACTATTGTGGATAAGTACAGAGTGCATATATAAACATATCAGCACAATCAATCTGTGCATTTTTCAGCTCCACACAGAATAATAACCAATTTTCCAACCTAACTGTTGGCCAGAAATCTGAATCATACTGAACTTTCTCCCATAACTTACAAACAAATGCACCTTACTTATTCCTTTAGCATGCATTCATCTCCAGTTCTACCATCATTAGGCTTACTGAGAGCATTCATCTGATGTTTAATGATGTGAATGTCAGTTTTGTCTTTGGTTCTTTTGGCACTTCTTCTTCTCCTCAGCTATTAATGGATTGCACTTACCTTTAACCAGGGTAAACCTCGATTCCTGCCAGGGAGGGTTGGGTTGTGGCATGTCCTGTCGTGAATCAATTTGTTTACCACTTAAATACGATAGGGAGCAGCGGACTGATCTGGGTCATAAATCAGCCTGAATGGCTCATTTTGCCATAAAAGCAGGAGGAAAAGGTCAATGATAAAGCAGCCTATCAGCCACAGCTTAGCCTCCAGGCCTGTATAATGCTACATCTTTGTTAAGTGAACATCAAAGGGATATTATTGGACATGTTTTTACCTTCAGTCCGCATAACAGGGTAATTATGCAACGATTGCATAAAGGGAGGCTGGCCCCTGAGCAGCAACCTGGACAGTTATTAGGGACACAGATAATTAGTCATTTCTATGGATCATGTCCAGCTTTTAACAGGGAAAATGGAGGGCTGCTGTGGTCTTACACAGTGTTTCTTCTTATTACTCTCCCCGCCGCCTCCGCTCTCTTCTCAGATTTTGGATGTGCTCTGCTCGCTGTGTGTGTGTAATGGTGTAGCTGTACGAACCAATCAGAACCTCATCTGTGACCACTTGCTGCCAAAAAGAGATTTGCTGTTGCAAACCCAGCTGGTCAATGATGTCCAGAGGTGAGAGAGCCCTGCGCCCCGTGCACTTCCCTCTAATTGATTGCTCTTGGATAAATTGGCTCATAATTATTTAATGGCAAATCTAAGGCTAGGGTTAGCAATGTTATCAAGTACCAGCAAGCAGGATTTACTAGGTAAGGTGTCCTAAAGAATCCCACAGTTGTATTACATTTGGGACTACATAAACTAAACATTACTGAATTATGACTTTCACATTTATCTGAACTGTGACATTGTCAAACAACAGTTTTAAATGTGGAATGTCATGGGATGGAATGCTTGCGGCCACATGTTTTTTTTCTCCAGTTGCATCTTATAAACATTGTGCCATAATGAGGCTAAATTTGATTTCACACACAGCTGGTTAAACCTGCTCCACAGTCACAAATATTTCATCATGCGTAATTGTATACTCAGTATTTAAATCTGTTTATGCCCAGCCATATAGCCTTACAATATTGCTCTAAAAATTAGAACGTTTCCCATATGCAGTCAGCCGTGATGTAACCTCATACCATGAGACACCGTAAATTTAGTTCATGCTGTGCTCTTACACGTTCTGTTTTGCCTTGCTAATATATCTATGAAAAGAAGAAATGCATAGGGTGCAATTTATAACATCCGTTGGCTAAACTTGTTCATTTAGTAAGAAATAAGAATTACATTTGAATATCTGCAAAGATCATAAGGAAGATCATAAGGGAAATTAAATGATTTTGGATTTCTCTTCCTTGCCAGTATGAGACCAAACATCTTCCTGGGGGTGAGTGAGGGCTCAGCTCAGTATAAGAAATGGTACTATGAGCTGATGATCGATCAGGTGGACCACTTCGTGACCAGCGAGCCCTCTCACCTCAGAGTGGGCTGGGCCAACAGCAAAGGTTACGCACCCTACCCCGGAGGAGGTGAGGGCTGGGGGGGCAATGGAGTAGGGGATGATCTCTACTCATTCGGTTTTGATGGACTTCACCTCTGGTCAGGTGAGTTAAAGAAGGATTGAAATCATTAAATGCAAACATGTTAAACTAGGCATCTAGGGAGCGTCAATTCTGAAATAATTGTAAGCACTGTGAAACAGTCTTTCAACTTTGATCAACTAGATTTGTTACAGCATCAGTCAACAGGTGTCAATGACTTGACGTGTGTGGGTTCCAAACAGGTCGTATCCCACGGGCGGTAGCGTCCCTGAACCAGCATGTCCTTACCTCAGAGGACGTGGTGAGCTGTTGTCTGGACCTGGGAGCGCCCAGCATCTCTTTCAGGATTAACGGACAGCCCGTCCAGGGCATGTTTGAAAACTTCAACACGGACGGCCTCTTCTTTCCTGTCGTCAGTTTCTCTGCAGGGGTTAAGTGAGTGTTTGTTTAAAACTCTAATTTGTGTGAAGCTAAAGGAAAGCCCAAAGAGTAGTTCTTGCCTGTCAACAGTTAATTGCTAAGTTGCATTTTAGTCCATGAAAAGCTGCCTCTGCATTTGAGAAAAAGCTATTCTTAGCCATAAACCATCTCCTCAATCTCAAAGGAAACATAGAATATGAGCTGACGGTCTAAATTTTCTTTGGACCGTCAGCTATTTGTGCTATAGCCACATGAATAAGTGTAGGATAAAACAACTGAAATGAGTTTATTTTCAAATATTTCATAATCTATAAATAATTCTAAGATGCATTTGAATTTTTTATTTCAAAGCAATGACCTTAGACAGGCAGTGTTTTATGCCCTCCGGTCGTCAGGGTGACAACAGATAGAGTGACTGACAAGCCTTTAAAGTGTAATTTCAAGCTCCAGCAGATTCCCTGTGATGGCTGACTTGAGAGCAGAGCAGCATTTTGTATGAGCAGATTCCACTCTGAGACACTTGACACTAAGAGATTAGTATGATATTATTGTGTCACGTATGCTATCAGAAACGGAATTAATTATTTGCTCTATGATGAAAAAATATTTCATGAATAAGATGAGAATAATAGGCAACAGTGGGCCAATCAAGGGCTTTTAAATGCTCTCATTTATCTTTATTGAATTCAAATGAAAAGCCCACACCATTTACTACACTAGTTCCTTGTAGAAAAGATACAAAAGGACTAGATTTGAGTATTTCTGCAGATAAACTTGTAACTTTGTAGAAATTACACATTCACAGTCAGGGTCTCTCTCACCTGCAAATATCTAGCACCAAATGTTCCATAATGCCACTTGATCTGATAAGAGATGTGAGGTTAACTGTAGCCTGCTTTAATCTGTTCCTCAAGTAAAACTAAATGTAGTACTAAGTGGGCCTACTTTTCCAAAACATGACAATGCTCCTGCGCTAACAAAGCCACTGCCATTAGACATCATTTACCAAGAAGAAAATGGATGTGCCCTCTCCTCAATGACTGATCAGAGCAAATGTGCACAAAATATGAATGAGAAAATGAAACATTCACTGATAACTTCTAGCTTTTCCCCTGTTAAGATTGCACAATCCTAAAGCCTGATTCCTATTATGGTCATTTCATAAACTACAGGCGCATACGCATTTCCTTACCCACCATATCAGGTATGTCCATTTTTACCTACAGTGTATCACTGATTTAAGAACTTACAAATGACCACTGAAATGTGTGCTCTCCAAACAAAAAGCTGCTCAGAACTGGAGCAAATTTAAGCTCCCCATATATCTGATTATACCAGAAAGTGGCATCAACACAACTTCCCTGCTCAATAATTGAAAACTACAGAGAGAATAGGCTTGGTTGCGTCACATCTACTACTTATGAAGCTATTTTGAGTAGCCTCTGGAGACCCTTTTTCAATCTCAGAACTCATCCTGTCCCTGACAGACCAGAGGAGGTAGAAGTCTTTAAGTTTCCTTGCGTGGCCTTTTTGTTTTTTGTTTTTCTTGCACCAGCTTATTTTGATGAACAGCAATCTGTTTGAACGTATTTTAAATATTTGAACACATTTCCCAGATTAATTAATTAACCCACTCATGTTTTTTTTTAATCTTTTCATATCCCGGACAAATATATTGTTTCATTAGGGTTCGTTTTCTGCTGGGTGGCCGGCATGGAGACTTCAAGTTCCTGCCTCCATCTAGTTATGCTCCGTGTTATGAGGCTCTACTGCCCAAAGAGAAAATGAAGGTTGAGCCAGTAAAGGAGTACAAAAGAGACGTGGATGGAATTAGAGATCTGCTTGGCACAACCCAGTTCACCTCACAGGCCTCCTTCATGCCCACACCTGTGGAGACCAGCCAGGTAAGCTTATCGGAGGAATATGATGTGGTTTTTCCATTTGACAACAATATCAGCAAATTATTTCTTATTCAGATTGTCATGCCAACCCATTTGGAAAAAGTCCGGGACAGGCTGGCTGAGAATATTCACGAACTGTGGGGAATGAATAAGATTGAGCTGGGCTGGACATACGGCAAGGTGAGATACAACCCTCTTGCGTTTTTGCTTGGGCAACAAGATCATCACAGGTGGAGAAATATAAAGCATAACTCATACATTTTGCCATGTTGGCAGAGAAATAAGCATCACGATTACACATTTTCTCAATAAAAAAAAACTCAGCTTTAAATGCATTATGAGTAGTTGTAGAATTTAACCATCACAGAAGCCTGTACGTCATCTTGCTTTCTCTTTTATAATTTGCGGTTCACACCAAAAAGAGGGTAAGTGAAAAGAACATTCATATTTTTCGTGTTCAATTCTTTTCATGTTGCTCATTTAGGTGCCTCATCCCAGTTTGCTTTTTTGGTAGCGAAGTCATTGTGTCATTGTGTGTTATAGAATAAATCATGAATAAATATCAATTCACCCATGAACAGAACAGGAGTTTTGGCTATTTCAACAATGCAATAAACCAAGAGCAAAGTCAGAATATTTATTATCTGTCTTCTTTACAAAAAGTGTGGTAGGATTGTTCAATTATTTCTTCAAATACTGCCACTGGAATAAGGTAAATATTTAGTTATGGCCATCAAGTTCCAGTTGGAAAAGGACAGTTGACAGATATTGGAAAATTTTGTTGTGAAGATCATTTTCGAAAAAGTCAAAGCCAGAGGTTTTCTGGGTTGAGCTCAATAGGCAACATAGATATTTGAGTGCTTCTTTAGACAGTTTTTATTTGAGAAAGCTGATTTTTGCCTGCATTGTATATGACGGAAAAAAGGGAGATAAATTTGTCAGAGATTCATGACTTAAGACCTTTTGGTTTATTGTAAATGAGCCACAAAACAATGCCAACGTAGCCTGTTTGGTCTTAAAGAAACAAAACCAACCGTAATAAACACAGCTCTTATGTCTATAATACAAACAGAGATTGGAGAATCCTGCCTCCATTGACAGACTCCTTTACAAGGCCAAAATACAACATTTATCCATCAATATCTTGTCAAAAAATTTTAAGGTCCACATATTGACTATAGCTTATTAAGTGAGGTATAGTTTCCATTATCTACATAAAATTACAATGACATTATGAGCTACCACACCTACCACAGGAATAAGCAAGATTGGTATTGCATATTTTATCATGGTTCTTGTACTATTTACAGAAGAGCTGGCTGATGTTCTTTGGACCCCTCCAACACACACAGCTGCATATTTGTACACAGCCTTGCATGTTTTCTTGGTAAACATCCACTACAGCGGTGCCACATTGTCAAACGGATTAGAGACGCATGAAAGCATTCGGTATTCCAGCCGCACAACTTCAAAAATCTCCTCCAGGAAAACATGCTCCCCTTTACCTCTTCCATTACATGTTCACTAGAGAAAAATGTCTTACCACTTTCAGGAGTCATACCCTGTCCCTAAACCACATGCCAGCTACCTTGTTAGCTCACAATGACTTACAAGGATGTCTATTTCATATACATACAGTATATTTAACAAACCTCCATATAGTGTCCATATATGAATGGTAGTAATGATTACATTTGATATAATTTAACAGTTTTTCTCCGTCTCACAGATAAGGGATGATAATAAACGGCAGCATCCTTGTCTGGTGGATTTCTCAAAGCTGCCAGAAACAGAAAAGAACTACAATCTGCAGATGTCAACGGAAACGCTGAAGTATGTTGAGCATAATGATTTGCTCTCCTTGAAGGTCTATAGAGAGTAAAGTCAATTATTCAAATTATGTATTAAAGTTGTATTCACTGATGAAAAACAATAGATCAGCTATTATATATTGCATATAATCAAAAACCTTCATATCCAACATCTTATGAGACTCTCTGAAACAGCAACACTTTGCTTGATTATTTTGTCTTTATAAGCTTTCTTGTGTTCCTCTTATTGTTACCTCATGACACTCACTCTGGTCAAAGCGAACCATTTGCTTTGAATGTAACCAGGCTGTTATGCTCTTGAGTGATTTTTTATGGTTAATCACTCTGAAGGAGTTTAACAATGGTGATGAATTTCCCTCTACTGCGTATAGTCTTGCTGAAGGATTTATGGAGTCCAAACTCTTTTTAATAGTTTTATAATTTTATTATTCTTTCTGTATCAGCATCTATTTTTCTGAGGCCCATTAAGGTATTATTCGCTTCTTTGGCTCAATGTTTTGGGCCTAATATCATGATGTAGGTTACACGCCGTGGTTTTCAAATTCCCAGTTCAGTTTAAGGATACTAGTTCACCTAAATGCTATCAAAGCAAAGATGAAGATGAGCTCTAATCAGCACTCCTTCAGTAATGGGTTTTTGTGCCACTTCATTTTTATTCTCCCTTTAGCTCACTGTGAGATCTACGGAAACGTCCATATTGATGTTCTCGCGTAAAGCCAATAATATGTGCAGGTTTTTTCACAGGAGATTTTTATTTTTTCCTCCACAGGACCCTGCTAGCATTAGGCTGCCGTGTTGTTCATGTGAATCCAAACGCTGAGGATTCACTCAAAAAGATAAAACTACAGAAGAAGTAAGTGAGCTTGATCTTGAAACTATGTGATACTGTATTTTAAAACATACAAGGTTTAATCCTGTCAGAATATTTCCAGCAATAAACCCCCCAAAAAAAAACATTGTCAAAAAAAAAATCAGTTCAGTCATAAAGGTTTCTTTAAATCTGCAGATATGGATATCTATATGGATATCTGTTTCATTTACTTTGTATTACCACACACGTATAACTGAGGAACAAATACTTCTTTAAATCTTTTTTTTCCTGTAGCTATATGATGTCCAATGGTTATAAACCATCCCCTCTGGACCTGTCTGATATCAAACTGACTCCAGGTCAGGAGCTACTAGTGGACAAACTGGCGGAAAACGCACACAATGTGTGGGCCAAAGACCGCATCAAACAAGGATGGACCTACGGCATTCAGCAGGTATGCTTTACAATCATGTTTAGGATGTGGTAAAATAAAAAATTTACAATACTTGTCAGACAATCTAACATCTGCTATCAACAAAACTGGATGTAACAAAGTTAAATTAAATACCTAAAAAAAGAACACAGAATACATTGCAAACAAGCGTGCAGCAAATTAATGATATCTTTTTTCTGTCTTAACTGTTTGTAGAATAATTTTACCAATAGGTGATTGTTCTGTTGAGTCAATTAATTCCAGTCAGTTCTTGCTTTTCTCTTATTAGACTTGCATTGTGCAAAATATTGTGCAGATGGCATACTCACTGGGCCATTAAAAACCCATCAATAATGAAGGAAAATTGCAGTTGACTGATCTTGATTTTTCCCTCCAAAGCTTATGTTAAGGCTTGCAGAAAGGGTGTTCTTGACAAAATAGCACTTAATTCCCGAGTAGTGCTTTAAGATGAAAGCCAAAAGGTTTGTAGTCTACTTTGTGTTGCTCCCCGTGAGAAAAGCCTAGGTCTGGAAAAGAAAAAGCTCCACATATCTCTTTAAAGTTGTGCTAAAATGACTCAAACAGGACTGTGCCATGTCCCCCTTTGGGACTAATACTAATGGATATAACTTGATAAACAGGCAGTGGTGAACAGCAATATTCTACGTGGTCAATTAAATTCTAAATTAATGGGACTGACAACATAGTGGTAACAAACATAACAGTTGGCCTTGAATCAGTTTACAACCCTCAAACGTGGATGTTTTGGAGTGAATTGTGATCCGATGGCGTGATTATGTTTTCCCAAACTTCCTCTCCTCCACCCAGGACCTGAAGAGCAAGCGAAACCCCCGTCTTGTTCCGTATGTGCTACTGGATGAGCGTACCAAGAAGTCTAACAGGGACAGCCTACGGGAGGCTATCCGCACCCTGATTGGATACGGATACAACATTGAGCCCTCAGACCAGGAAGGCGGTGCGTTTCACCCATGCATTCAAGCCTGTCACTATACATTGAGGTTAATGTGTAGCCCATAATAAAGGGCTGATTGAATCATGCCCTGACTTAATCCTCCAGTCCAGATACGGGATTCTGCCTCCTACCATCTTTCCATTTATGTAAAATAGAAACAATGAATGAAATGCTTGCATTGGAGTGTACCCAACAACTACTCTGTAAAAAAAAACTATTTTCCTGCATTTCTTCTCTGCCTTCTGCTCTGTAGGGCAAGTGGCTGAGCGCCTCAGCATTGATAAGATCCGTTTCTTCAGAGTAGAGAGGACATACGCTGTGAGGAGTGGAAAGTGGTACTTTGAATTTGAGGCTGTCACAGGAGGCGACATGAGAGTAGGCTGGGCCAGACCTGGTTGCAAGCCAGATGTGGAGCTTGGCACAGATGAGCGTGCTTTTGTTTTTGATGGATACCGGGTAAGCTGTCAAACAAACCTTAATCAGTGTGATTAAGTGTACTGTTTATGCACCAATTAATTTCTGCAAGCATCTGTTGTACACAGGGCCACTGTCTCAACATGGGAGGCAGGTTGTTTGGGCGCTGCTGGCATGCCGGGGATGTTGTGGGCTGCATGATCAACATGGAGGACAAGTCCATGATCTTCACTCTTAATGGAGAGATCCTCATAACAACAAAGGGCTCTGAACTCTGCTTCACAGACTTTGAAACTGAGGATGGTGAGAAAAGCGCATGTTTAAACATGAGTGACTCAAACTAGCTTCAGGTCAGGGTCATCATCAGACTCACACAGTGATTCAAGGATGAGCTGGTAGACAAATTTGAGCTTCTTCTCATCATTTAATAAGATCCTTTAAACTAGAATGATGATTACGATTGGGAAATAAGTGGGAATGCAATAAAATTACTATTATTTAACTTGCAGAATTGAGTCTCCATCCCGTCCTGCTGTATGTTCTCGTAGAGCTTTGATTCTTTCCTACTTCTACATTACTGTTCTTCACTTACATTCTGTGGTTGTCCTTCAGGGTTCATCCCAGTGTGCAGTCTCGGTCTGGCCCAGGTGGGCCGCATGAATCTGGGGAAAGATGCCAGCACCTTCAAGTACTACACAATGTGTGGACTCCAGGAGGGATTTGAACCCTTCGCCGTCAACATGAACAGAGAAGTCACGATGTGGTTCAGCAAGCGTCTGCCCACTTTTGTCAACGTGCCAAAGAACCACAACCACATCGCAGTAAGAAGAGCGTGCAGTCAAGCACTGCTGTAAAAATGACTAAATCTGGCACGTGACATGATGAAATATTTCCTTCCGGTTGGCAGGTAACCAGGATTGACGGCACCATCGACAGCCCTCCATGTCTTAAAGTCACTCACAAGTCATTCGGTACCCAGAACAGCAATGCTGACATGGTGTTTTGTCGTCTCAGTATGCCTGTGGAGTTCCACTCCATCTTCAAGACCAGTCCTGTTATAGACATGAATGGATTGCATGACGAAGATATCCTTAAAGTTAAACACAGGTGCTGACTTTTTCCAAAACTACGACCAGAACTTGTTGTACCATCAAGTAGAAGTTGTTGTAAATTCATTTTTACTCTGTAAATTGAATGTTTTGAATTAAGGTTATGCAGTTTAATCTCTATGTTTTACTGTAATAGCCAATTTCGATGTCTCATAGATATCCACTCAGATCTGTGAGGCACAGCGAAGAAAGTAGACGAGTAGACTACAGCAGCATCACCTCGGTACATTTTACGAGCTCCTCCTTGATGGCACCTGTTGGTAGCAACACCTATATTTTTCGCTAACTCATATGTTTTGCTACAGTACTACCACTCAGTAAGAATCTTCGCTGGTCAAGACCCTTCCTGTGTATGGGTTGGATGGGTTACCCCAGACTACCATTACTATAGCAACAACTTTAACCTCAGCAAGAACCGAACGGTGACTGTTACCCTGGGTGATGAGCGAGGGCGGGTCCATGAGAGGTGAGGACCCCTGTTTTCCATGCCATACATTAAAACTGCCAGTGGCTCACAGTGCTGAAAACGTCTACATCTGCTGATGGTTGACAGTGTGAAGAGGAGCAACTGCTTCATGATGTGGGCCGGCGATGTGGCCGGCTCTGCCCACACCTCCAGCCGGACCAACGTCGACCTGGAGATTGGCTGTCTGATAGACCTGGCAACGGGTCTGGTGACATTCTCTGTCAATGGAAAGGAGATATCCACATCCTACCAGGTGAAAAACACAGAACCATATTAAGATTTAAAAAAAAATCTCCTTCTAGCCACTGTAGAATAGGAAACAGCAACTTCTACAGGGGTCATCACAAAACACAACTGCAATAAAGTAGTTGTTTTTAAGCTTTTAGATAGCAGTGGTGTAAAAAGAATTCCCTTTTCGGCACATGATCTAGACTTTTTGTTGATGGTTTTTGGACATGTGCAGGGTTTTCCAAATCTTTCGTCCTTGCAAAATCGCTGCTTTCTCAGCTGTTAACTCAGTCATTCTACTGCTCAGTCTGGTTGCCTTGATAGTAAGTCAGCAAGCTTTTCACATTTAACTAAAAGAGCTGTAACTCCTGTGTGGGATTTTCTATTTGGAATTTGCTTGTTCAGATGTACTGTCACAGCTAAATCTTAAAGAATGTGAGGAAATGGTTTAATCTTCTTATGTTCTTTCCCACTGAAATTCTGTGAAGCTGACTCTTCCTGCCAGCCGACACTCTGAAATGAAAACACACACACACTTGCATACACACTAATGTGCGCACTTTGAGTAGGGCTCTCATGGCACATCATGAGGTGGCTTTCTGTAAGTCACGCTCTCTTATGCTCAGGCTCAAGTTTTGATGATGACTTAGCGTTTATACCCATAAATGACTGCCAGTTTCTCTACCACAGGTGGAACCAAACACAAAGCTCTTCCCTGCTGTTTTTGTGCGACCGACCAGCCCCAACCTCTTTCAGTTTGAACTGACGAAAATAAAGGTGAAGTACCGTGATGCATCTCTGATTTTGAACGGCTTTAGATACTGATGTGTGCAAATGCAAAATGACGCAAGTCGAAACCTCCAGTGCCCTTAGTAAGCTCTTCTACATTGTAACTATTCTGTTTGCTTGACGCTGTATACAGACTTACAACCTCCACCCCGGAGGTTTCGTAACTATACACCCACCAAGGGGCTTCAAGACTAATGTATCATCACATGCCTGCAAAGATATTGAGAGCCACAAAACAGCAAAAATTGATAACGAAGCAAAAGATAAATAAATGATAAACAATATCTCTAGATTTTGAAAGAATGTTTTGTTCCAGAAAAGTGTATTGTAAAAAGATCCAAGTAGAGGAAAAAGTGTCAAAGCTCAGAGAGCTCATGTTTGTATCCCCCCCTTTGTTTTACCTCTGCAGAATGCCATGCCTCTGTCGTCAGCCATCTTTAAGAGTGAACACAAGAATCCAGTGCCCCAGTGCCCCCCACGACTAGATGTCCAGACCATAAATGCAGTGCTGTGGAGCCGCATGCCCAACACCTTCCTTAAAGTGGAAACAGCCCGAGTGAACGACAGGCACGGCTGGGTGGTCCAGTGTGTGGAGCCCCTGCAGATGTTGGCCGTGCACATACCCGAAGAGAACAGGTATGGTCTTAGAGGGAACATGCACTGTTGATGTCAAATTTCTCATTTAGAACATTGGGTAAAAACTATTTTTAAAAATCGTTGTGAAAATACTCTAATCTTTTCCACAAATAATCAGATCTGGGTGAAATATTTCCCCCATAGAAATGTCTAATCATAAAGCGTGTTCATGTATTGCCTACATTACTTTTTAAGGTCACTTTTATCCATTAGACATCAAGGTGATATTAGTTTTTTTCATTTATCTCTTTGTAATGAGCTTCTGTCATTTAGCTGATATGTGTGGAAATTTGAATTGGTCAATTAACTTCTAAATGAATGCGCTTATCTCAGTAATCAACCGGTCAAGCTTCTCATAATGAGGATTTACTAGTTTGCTATCACTTTTTTTAATTGGTGTACAGACAAAAATCTATGCTTTGCTTGACGGCAGCTGTATTTTCATTTTATCACCACTCCTTAACACAATCAGATGTGAAGAACTAAGAGAATACTGAGAAAATACTTTCTTTAAACACTTTTTTCTTTTCAAAGGTGTGTTGACATCATGGAGCTGTCAGAGCAGGAGGACATGAAGAGGTTCCATTACCACACCCTGAAGCTCTACTGTGCCCTCTGTGCACTGGGAAACACCCGAGTGGCCCACGCTCTCTGCAGCCACCTGGACCAGTCGCAGCTTTTGTACACCATCGACAATCAGTACCTGTCCGGGATGCTACGAGAGGGCTTCTACAACGTCCTGATCAGCATTCACCTGGAAACCGCGAAGGAGGCTCGACTCACGATGAAAGACGAGTTCATCATTCCAGTCACGGCGGAGACGCGCTCCATCCGTCTCTTTTCCGACGCTTCGAAAAGGCACCTGCCTCCGGGGGTGGGGCTCAGCACCTCTCTAAAACCCCGTCTGAATTTTACCCCACCCTGTTTCATCAGCACCAAACGAGACTATTTGTACAGCCCCCAAGTCCCGCTGGACGCGCTGAAGGAGAAGGCGATTACAATGCTGACAGAAGCCGTTCAAGGTGGTGGGCACCACATCCGAGATCCTGTAGGAGGAGGTGTGGAGTACCAGTTTGTGCCAATCTTGAAGCTCATCAGCACCTTGCTGACTATGGGGGTTTTATGCAGCGAAGACGTTCAAAAGATTTTACTGCTCATTGACCCGAATGTCTTCAGGGAGACGCGTGAAGAGGTAGTCACAGGGGCCACAGACAAAGAAGGACTAACAGGAACAGAGGAGAAGGCAGTGGAAGCTGGAGAGGAGGAGGTGGCTAAAGACGCAAAACAGCCAATCAAGGGCCTACTGGAGAAAAGGCTGCCCGAGCCCGTCAAACGGCAGGTAATAATGAAAACTCACGTGTGCGCACACAGACGATTTCACATCGTCCTAAATGTGTTAAACATTCATGTAAAGCAATGGGGGTAAATCATCAAAACATGAAAATCAATGAACACTGACTCGCACCAGTACCAACTCACTGCTAAGGACACAGCTGTGCTCTCAATCACATGCTCCATTATTGTTCCACTGTAATAGGCCTATTCAGAGGTCAGTCAAACATGAAATGGCGGTCTCACATAGAACAAATGATCCCTTGGGAATTGACGTATCTTCAACAAGTGGGATACTGTGGAGTCATCATGGGCTTTAATGGGTTTTTTTTCCAGCATTGCTGGTAAGGACTGCATGTTGACACCGAGCTGATGCAACGCTGCCTGTGTTTGAGCAAATGTTTCCCCTCTCTTTGTCCGCTCCCCAGATGTGTGAGCTGCTCCACTATTTCTGTGACTGCGAGCTGAAGCACCGTATCGAGGCCATCGTATCCTTCTCCGACAACTTTGTCTCCAAACTGCAGTACAACCAGAAGTTCCGCTACAATGAGCTCATGCTGGCCCTCAATATGTCTGCTGCTGTTACAGCAAAGAAGACCAAAGAGTTCAGATCTCCTCCGCAAGAGCAGGTGAGACAAATCCAAAGCTGATAAATGACAAAGCCTGGTGGTACAGGCAACAGCGGAGAAAGTTTCATTTGTAATGTTCTATAGAATCACCATCAAAACAAGAAGCAGAAGGGAAACTACATTTGTGATTAGTCACTGATTTATCCCTTTCAAGACAGATTTTACAGTTTAATGCCACCAAAGGGGAACATTTGTTCATCCACAAAGCAGACAAAGCAGAAGCGGCATCACCTTGCCACATGCATTCACACGGCACAAAGGCGTTGTGGAGCTAGAGGAGTGACAGCGACAGAAACTAGAGCAATGCATTCCCACCCTGAATCGCATTCATAGTCGCGTCAGTTCAGACTTCTTACAATCTCTGCAGCCGGCTTGCCAATTTCAAATCCCCATTCCACAGTCTGCACTCCCCCAGATGACTGAGGAGCTCTAAGGGTTCAAAATAAGTGCTATCACCTGTGTGGGCGAGCAGGACCTTCAATTTTTATTCATTGCCTCTTATAGTTTTTTTTCCGTCTGCAGATCGGCAAATAGAAATAGAAGAGCTGGGTTTTCTTCAGCAAGCCTCCAGGTTTTTTTAAAACTTTATTCAAATAGTGTTTTTAATATATAAAACACATTGGAATAACAAGTTGACACTGTGGCTGAATATTTCTACTGTGGCAAACAAACTATTTATATTCCCTGAACTGTCCCAAAACTGCCCCCAAACTGTTCTGGCTTCTATTGTAACAGTTCTGAGGAACCATTGCTAATCTTCAGGCGACTGATTTTTACTGTTTCCATGCAGGGTAAAGCTGAGCTGTGGTTATTGGTTTGTTGATTTGACTACACTCCTCTATCACTGAATACACACACGCTGAAGTTACAACATTAAGTTCTAAACCTCGATGTAAACATGCTGAATTACAGAAGAAGCTACAGAACGTCTGCGATTAGCTTTTTACACGTGGTTAATTTCACTTCATTTTGTTTTTTAAATTATTTTTATTTTCTATTTCGGCTCCTCGGCCTTTAGAAAAATTGCCCCTTATTTCGAGTGTTCTTGAAAGTGTTCCTCTGTAAGTATGTCGAGCAAAGCTTCAAGGCAAATTCATCCCGAGCCTCAATGAGAGGGCGCAATGCACCATGCACACACACACTCATTACAGTTACTCTTTAAAGTCACAGCTGGAGACTGAGCACAGCACTTCATAGCTGTGTTAATGACGTGTCATGATGCCCTTTAGTCTGTGATCCACTTAAGCTGTTTTCTTTCTCTCTGTGATTCATACAGTAAAATATCAAGTTCACATCATTTGAAACTTAAGACAAGAAGAGTCAACGCTGATTAAACATAATCCCATGGAAAATCCCAAGAAAAAGGGCAGCTCAATTTATTTCGTATTTACATTTTTCTCTAATGTTCATACATTGGCTCGATTTGCTCAAATTTCAGATCAATATGCTGCTGACCTTCAGCGTGGGAGAGGACTGTCCGTGTCCCTCCGACATCCAGGAGGAACTCTATGATTTTCACAACCAGCTGCAGCTCCACTGTGGTGAGATGCAGATCGAGCTAAATCTCTATGAGCTGCTTTATAGACGCTGTTTCTATTAGATGAACACTGTTCAGCAGTTTGAAAAAAAGCGGCATGATCTGGTAGCATGGATGGAAATGTAAAGACATTTAGCAGGCACATGGGTGTCCAAAACTATCCAAAGTCGTTCCATTTAGAACAAATGTTTAAGAATGTAAAAAGCTAATTGTGTTTGGGCCATTGGGGAGACTGTAGAGTAAAGTAGTTAATAAATACTGAATGATGAGGTAGCTTGAATCGCAAAAGCCGAGCCCCCTATTCTCAAACAAAAATAAAGCAAAGACAACAACTTGAGAATAATCATCAGAGCTCTGTCTCAGTGGCGGGGAGGGTGCTCATTGTGTCAGTAAATATAAGATACATGAAGGCCTAAGGGCCTTTAAAGCTTTAAAGGTGAGTAACGACTTGGCCCACTTCCTCAGCTGACTGAAATCCTATTGAGAATTTGTAGTTTCTTCCCAAACGTGAGATTTATTGTAAGGGAACGCAGTACACTATTCCGAGCATTTGAGAGGCTGAGCCTGTGCTGCCTCAGGGAAGGTTGATCATCAAAAGACGATCAAACAAATTCTCATGGTACTTCCTTATTACACTCATTCTCAACACTGCAAATAGAGATACAAATTGGAAATAAAATAATTGACTTGGCTCCTCCCATAGTCCTCCACACATAGAGAAAAATACAGAAGCAAAATATTTCCTCTGTTAAAACATTGACGTTGTAAATTCAGATTTAGAAGAAATTTGTTTAAAAAAGAATCCTTATAGATAAAATTTGAAGAGGAACTGCTTGAAAATAAAGAATGGAATATAAACTTAGGTAAAAAAAACATATGGATGGCTTGCATATTGTTTGTACTTTTTCTTATTATTTTACAAGATGCGTTTGTGTCAGCATCAGCAGAATTGCATGAGCCCTTATTCAAGCTCTTCTTTCTCACTTAGTGTTCCATCTCCACATAGGATGTATAGTTCCGTGCTTCTGTAATTGTTCTTACATTTTCTTGCTTTGATAAATGATTCAAATGCCCAGCCCTCCATGCTACCTCTGAGTGAATAGCAATCCCAGCGTTGGCATGATGTTACGGCGTAACGCTGCACCCTGGATGAGGCTGTTCAGCGTGTTCTGTGCATTATACATACAAGACCTCTTTTGAACCCACAGGAAGCCAAGCTTCATAGAAATAGTGTTTGATTATATAACTTATATATTGTGTATGTGTCTCTTTTTTTTATAGGGATCCCTATGGAGGAAGATGAACATGAGCAAGACACATCTATTAAAGGGCGCCTCTTAATGTTGGTGTACAAGATCAAAAATCAGTCTCACAAAGCAGAAGAGCCCACACAGAAGGAGCAGGCTGCGCCATGTGAGGATCTAGCTACTTTTATTATTAAACTCCACTCGTCACTGAATCTATAGTGCTTATTGAACCATTGTGCATGAGCCTGGGTAAAGAATCTAATTTTGATCGATGCAGATTAAAAATGATCATTACTGCATTCGGAAAACACAAAATCACACATTACATTGTATCCATAGAAATATATTAATAAGAGTTTTAAGGGGACGTCTTTTTTCCTTGCTCTCCAAATGTCCAAAGCAAGAGACGTGCCTTTTATAAAGATGTTGAAGAGGTTTCTTTCAGAGTTTTTACTATTCCCTCCCTAAAAAGCACGGCCACTAAATGAATTTCTGTTCTATTTACCCCGTTCTACATTGTGCCTGTTCCTAACCTTGTGCACTTCTTTTTGTATAAGCTGTATCTGGGCTTCTGGCACAAAGGAAGGGGAAAATGAACAGGAAGGGCCGGTGAATTGCATTTCTAGCTCCCTTAGTCTTGCCTGTATTTGTGCCGCTGTATGGTAGTCATTTCCCTTCCAATTTCTTTCCAATTTTATTATGATAATATAAAGCCTCATGTAGGAGAGGTTCTAGAGTGAAGAGCATCCTCTGTCAGCAGCTCCAGGAAGGGAGAGGAAAATTGAGAGAATAATAAAAAGAAAAATCACTGATAAAGAAGCTATACCTTTTACTTGGACAGGTGGGACTGAGAAAAAACACACAAATAGCACGTACACCATGAAGAAAAACACATTCCACTGTTTTCAATCTCTGTGGAGGAACAATAGATGTACTGTACAGAACCTCTGATGTGAGACATCTGGTAAAAAAACTCTCTACTTTTTCTTGTTCTTCTGTCTTATTGTTCTCTATAAAACCAGGATAATTTATAACAGCTGCACAGAATTTTCATCAGCACATTACTACATCTTTCACGATAATTTGAGACCCTCAAAATGAAATTATGTTATATACTCAAGTGTACTTGCTTTTGATTATTTATGGTATATCAGATGGGAATTACTATGTTTTCTTGCTTGCCTTTCACTTCAAAATCCTGAGAATACATTTGCGGCTTGAGTCTGTGTTGTTGATTAAAGACAATCAAAGGGTAATTATTATTGATTTAAGGTATAATAAAATACCCACACTACCCTCGGGTGAAGCTGCCCAGTTTGAAATTGGGTGCCACGCAATTGGGCCTCAGATCTGGACACTTTTATTCTAGGTAGTGAATAATTACAGTATACTCAAAAGCCACAGCTTAAAGATGTCCTAAATGCAAGAACATATACACAAACAGATGGTAAAACAAGCAGAGGAGAGTCTGCAGTCTAGCGGTGTGTGTTAATCAGCTCCAACTGGAATTGATGGGAACAGAACCAGAGGATGGACAGTCTGAATTTCACTTAGGGTGCTGCTGCCAGGGTAGCAAGAGTGAGCTCTTTTACAGGCACTCGTGTTTACCTACAGGATTGTCACACATGAGAGGTATAAAACTGACAATCTGGCACCTCACTCTCAGTTCTTCTGTGGAGGCTGTGAATCCGCTGTGAATTTGTCTCACTGTGTCAGAGAGGAGTGATTATCAGTATATGTGGTCCACAGCAAGCAGGGTACAGTGCAATCCCATCCCTTAATGCCCTCCAAAACCTTGTGGTGCAAAAACATCATTCTAGTTGGGCATAAAACGCAGTTGTGATTGGTGTAATTTGAATGTCTACATGTCAAAATGTTTCAAAGATATGTGTAAAATATGTGGTATGAAGGATGTTTAAAGTCTAATCAAACCAATCGAAGTTGCTTCCAGTACACATTTCAGAGAATTCAATGCATTAGTTATTGAGTTGCTTTACAAGCTAAAATAAAAAGGGATTGGTACTGTTTTAATTTGCACGTCAAAGAGATGTTATATTGTTTTATTCTGAACTGAGTGCAATAAGAGATTATATGAGGAGGAAATAGTGGGGTGAGTGGAGATGACATATGACATACTCTGAGATGTGACGCCAGCAATAACTTCCCTTCCCCTTCACATCGTCTCGCTCCCAGAGACCCTGAAGAAAGGGGCGCCTCCACTGTCATGGCCATTATTTCACAAGAATGAAGTTAAAGGAGCTCAGAAGTCATTTTCCTCCTCTGATGAATGGTTCATCCAGCTGAAGCATTTAATGGTTAGACTTACCTTGAGGAAGCCTGTGCCTGAGTGTGAGCCAGAGCATTGAAGGAGTGGGTGAATTCCTACACCATAAAAGATGCTGCCTCCTCTTAATGTCATTCTTAATGGCGGAGATGTAGATTTTAATGCTGAAACTTGACTGAGAGTTTTTTATAGTTTGACATGAAAGTCAGGTGTTGTGCAGCGTTTTGGCTACGGGGATGAAATGTCACTTCTCGTTTTGGAACAAACTGATGCTTTGGGCCTTGTTCTGACATCCGCACACCTCCTGGCAGCAGGATCTCTTACCGCTGTCACTCTGCTGTGCAGACGTTGCATTGCACAGACTGCACTGATCGACCCCCCCCCCCCGTCAAATACCCTTCAAATACATGCCATTCAAAATGACCGTAAAAACGCATTTAACTGACCAGTGAATCAGGAAAAGCTCCGTTTATGGTTCTGAATTGTTTGGTATTCGCCTTTCTCCCTTCCACACTACGAGTAACCCTGCACCATGACCCACACAATGTGCTTAAAATCAGGCTTTGAGAATAACCCCCGAACAAATGTCTCCCTTTAACCTCTAAAGCAGAGCAGTTATGAACATCACGCCATTCCTTCCTTTTACAGAAAATTATTTATGTTCTTCTAAATTTAGAATGTGACTTTCCATGAATGATCTCACAAATTGTGTGTTTCCTTTTTCGCACGGTAGGGATGAAAGGTGTCACGAAGCTGAAATGCAGCTAATCACCTCGGCTTTGAAAACGGTGTTCTGTTGCTTCTGTGTAATACCACCCAGCAGGTCTTTTTTATTCACCTGAAAACACAATGAAGGCTTTGAAGCCACTGTCTGTATTTATTTGATATCATGTGCTCAAGGTCTTGTTCATAGAAACCTTTATTGATTACTGTTCTACTTTCTCTGGAAAAAAATCTGTGGCTATATAAGTAGAGGAAGTAAAGTAGAGATTTCTTTGCAGTCTGGTAGTTAGATTTCAATATTAAAGGAAAATGGTTATGTTTTTATCAGTACTTCAGATTTTTGAAGATCCTGTGCCACGAAGAAATACAATGACTCATTTTTCTCAACGACTTGCAGCTAATCTGAAGGAGCTCATCTCTCAGACCATGGTTAGCTGGGCCCAGGAGTGTCATATTCAGGACCCAGAGCTTGTTCGCAAGATGTTCAGCCTACTGAGAAGGCAGTATGACAGCATTGGAGAGCTGCTTCGGGCTATGCGGAAGACTTACACCATCAGTGCTGTCTCAGTCCAGGACACCATAAACCTCCTTGCGTCCCTCGGCCAGATCAGATCTCTGCTGTCTGTTCGCATGGGAAAAGAGGAGGAGAAGCTCATGATAGATGGACTGGGGTAGGTTCTTCCTAATGAGTATGATAAGTTATTTTGTTTTACTGTGTTTGTGGGGGGGGGGATTTGTTATTCGTTTTCAGTGAGTGTGTGATATTTCAAACGACATTTTTTCTTGACAGTGACATCATGAACAACAAAGTGTTTTACCAGCACCCAAACCTAATGAGGATACTGGGCATGCACGAGACCGTCATGGAGGTCATGGTCAATGTTCTTGGAGGAGACAAGTCCCAGGTTTGATAACTCCTAGCTCTTAAAGACTGGTCCCCGCTCCATCAGTCAGTTAAGACCTCCCACTCCACCACTCACCACTAGACAAACAAATAATTTGTGCTTTAGTTGAGTTTGAGGTGAAGTATGGCTGAGGGCTGGGTGTATATTACTGATGATGTGGTAGTGACAGCATCTTGGCTGATGGACAGAAAGGGCAGAGTGTCTCTTGGTGACTGATGAGCTGTGTGGGAACACGTCAGGCGTTTTACACATGAAATAGAAATGAGGACATGTGGGAATTTAAGGTAACATGTCTGCAATGCATCAGAGTCAAGTAGCAACGCCTCCAGATCCACCTCATATGGAATTATCATTTTTTGAGTGACAGTTTGCAAGCACTGGCTAGACATATAGAAAGTCTATTACATCTGAATGCTCTATTTATAAATCTGAGACACTGCTGCCTGGAAATAGGACTGAAACATGATGTCTGATCTTCTATTAAAAAACAAGGGAAGATATGACTTACTCTGTTTGTGTAATTCCACAGGAAATTGCTTTCCCTAAAATGGTTGCCAGTTGTTGCCGCTTCCTCTGCTACTTCTGCCGGATCAGCCGCCAGAACCAGAAAGCAATGTTCGACCACCTCAGCTACCTACTGGAGAACAGCAGCGTGGGGCTAGGTGGGTTCAAAAATGTTTAGTACCCCTCATGCTGACCGGACATTGCTCTGAAAACACATCCGGAAACAGACAAAACCTTTGCTGTGAAACATTTTAGAAAAATAGCATGAATATCCAGACCTTTTTAGCAGTTCCCCTGTGTGGATGCATGGAAGACAAATGGATTTAGTTATACTGCGCTTCATGCAAGCTCATAGAATCAAATGAAAAAAATTGATTTTATGTTTGGTATTTTTCAAGTATACACAACAAGAATCAAGAATCAAGGCAAGTGCTGACAAAAAAAAAGCTGCTGGTTACATGTTAAAAGGGGAAATATCACCCCCTGCTGTTATTTAGACAGAGAAAATCACAGGCAGACAATGCTGTGTGTGTTTTGTCCTGCAGCTTCTCCAGCTATGAGGGGATCTACTCCTCTAGATGTAGCTGCTTCCTCTGTGATGGACAACAACGGTCTGGCTCTCGCACTGGAGGAACCTGATCTGGACAAGGCAAGACCTTGTTTCTTTTGTGAAAATGGGGCTAGTATGGCTAGATGAATTTGGATGAATCAGGCATAATGTGACGCATTTTATGTAATCTGTCCAAAGGTGGTTACCTACCTGGCTGGTTGTGGCCTTCAAAGCTGTCCAATGCTTTTGGCCAAAGGTTACCCAGACATTGGATGGAACCCCATTGAAGGAGAGCGTTATCTGTCCTTCCTGCGCTTTGCTGTTTTTGTTAATGGTATGACAACAGCTACTCTGTTTCATTGCATCTCTCACTTTCTAGTTGTTCAGCTTTTTTCTGCTTCTCTTTGTAAACATGCTCCAAACTTAGACATGAAAGAACTTCAGCTGCTTATGCAGAGTCTTTGCATTTTTGAATGCGATTTGTATATTTCGAGCTTTGAAGTGTAAATGCGAAGTGTTGCCAAACTGCCTTTGTGTTTGTATTCTAGGTGAGAGTGTGGAGGAGAATTCCAGTGTTGTGGTCAAACTACTGATTCGTCGCCCAGAGTGTTTTGGACCTGCCCTGAGAGGAGAGGGAGGCAATGGCCTGTTGGCTGCGATGAAGGAAGCCATTAAGATCTCTGAGACGCCTGCCTTGGACCTGCCGGGCTCCGTGCAGGGAGTCAGCTCTGACATGTGAGCCATTAAAATCGGCACAAAGACACGATCTTTAAAAAAAAAAACAGTTTCATCCCTCTTTATTGGAGTCTTTGCGGTTGCCCCTCCGCATCACCTTGTCTTTTTTCTGTGGTAGGTCTGCCGATGGGGTTGATGATGAGGAGGAGGTGGTCCACATGGGAAATGCCATCATGTCCTTTTATTCTGCTCTCATTGACCTGTTGGGGCGCTGTGCCCCTGAGATGCACGTACGTTTGGAGCGGTGACATTTTCTTGTGTTTCTCCTGTTGGCCATTCTTCCCCCAGTTTCACTTGCTTGTCCTTTTCTTCAGCTCATCAACAAGGGGAAAGGTGAAGCCCTGCGAATTCGTGCCATCCTGCGCTCTCTGGTCCCCACTGAGGACCTCGTTGGAATCATCAGTATTCCACTTAAAATGCCTATCGTCAACAAAGGTAGGAGTGAGCATCTTTGCCTTTTTAGTACTTCCATCAGACAGTTTTTTTTAAATACGCATACCAGTGTTCGACGGATCTCACACATGAAAGTACAATGGAAACAAAGCTGTGCAAATCCAGTTTGAAGCAGAAAGTTATTGATTGAATTGCAATGCTCATGCCTTTTTAATCAGCACAACACTCTACTGTTCACTCCCATGACTCGGAGTAAGCCAGATGTTTCTATAGCGAGCTGTCGAGCCTTATTGATTGATCTGCATAAGTATGGCAAAACTAGGCTCTTAAATTGCTGCTGCGAGCTCCGCCACACAGGCTTTGTCAGCGGGCCAAGAATGAAGACAGCGAGTCGAGGCTCCGGCACCAGAAAACTGCTGCATGCAGCCTAATGAATACACATGGCTGTCCTAATCAGAAAAGACTTGCCATTATGTACTGTACACTTCTCCCTGGGCATTTCACCACTTCACAACCTGCATGGCTTGCACTGTTCAAATGTTTTGCCTTCCTCTGTCTGATTCTATTCCTGCCAGATGGATCAGTGACCGAGCCAGACATGTCGGCCAGTTTCTGTCCGGACCACAAAGCTCCCATGGTGCTGTTTTTAGACAGGGTGTACGGCATTGAAGATCAGAGCTTTCTGCTCCACTTGCTGGAGGTGGGCTTTCTTCCTGACCTGAGGGCCGCTACCTCTCTGGATACGGTAAGTAGAGCCACCAACAGCGTGGGAGAGAAGCATCTTAACAGCCAAACAATGAACCTCATCATGGACAAACGGGATCCGTTTGTTTGGGCTGTATCAAGCTCATTTGATATTTTTGTCTGAACTTTGATTGAGCATATGGCACACTAAATAACCTCATCGTCTGGTCAGCATATCGGGCAGATGCCAGGTCCCATAGGGATCTGAGAGGTTTGGGAATTCTTTTAATAGGCTGAAATGTGCTGTGCAGCTGTGGCCTCTGCCGAGCAGTTTATGTAATTCAGCAAAAAGAACATAATCTTGTTCTGCACTCTTATCATAGAAAACTGTTCTCTAAAAAGGGTTTAGGAGGTTAATTAATGCATGTAAGAACATTTGTAGGTAAGTGTTCATTCAGTTCACTGTCCATACTTTTAATGAGGTGTTCGATGGGAGTCAATTCTCAAAAGATATTCCTAAAGCACAGAAATTTGGAACGGCTTTCAGTTTCTTTGTCTTTTTTTTGGGGGGGTGGGGCAGTTATAGTGAGAGCCTGTGAATATATAAGACTTTAAGTACTGATATTTTTTCTTGATGGCAAAGAAAGCTCTGAGAAAAGACTTGGATAACTTGTGTGACTCATTCGGATTTGCTCTGGCACTCCGTTTGTGTCAATATGGAAAGATTTAAGAATATCCCTCAACCCGGGGCTGACGCACAGTCCTGATCACACTGACACACGAGCCGACACATGAGCTGAGATGTCTGTGGTTTCCTTCCACTAAGCAAACTAACTCAACTTGAGGGTGCTAATTTGAACTTTCTAAACTGCTGTTTTCGATTGAATTAGAGTGATATGTACTCAAACTGTTGTATTTTCCTCTTTGCAGGAGGGCCTGTGCACCACTGAGACAGCCCTGGCTATGAACCGCTACATCGGTTCAGCCATGCTGCCCCTTCTCACCCGCTGCGCGCCTCTCTTTGCCGGGACCGAACACCACGCCACCCTCATCGACTCCACCCTGCACACCATCTACCGCCTCTCCAAGGGCCGTTCACTGACCAAGGCACAAAGAGATGCCATAGAGGAGTGCTTACTGTCTGTTTGCAAGTGAGCAGCGTGATAAAAACTACTTGTGGGATTAAAAGATTATTTTGATCTTTGCCAGAACGTCATTTTCTGTGTCTCAACTTTTCTATATCTCAAAAACAAATTCAATCACTTTTCTAGGGATATTGTAATCTATCTCACGGCCGTCTTTCGCTAAATATCATTTTAAGTGAGCATGACGAACTTGGTTAGAGGGCAGCCCAGGGCAGCAACAGTCTTATCTTTTCTGCAGACACCTCCGTCCCTCCATGCTGCAGCAGCTCCTGCGTCGCCTCGTCTTTGATGTGCCCTTGCTCACTGAATACTGCAAGATGCCTTTACGGGTTTGGAAAAAGTTTCTTTTATTTTCATCTCTGTGTTACCTTTTTTTATTTATTGCGTCCTCTTATATCTCATAATCCTTCTTTACCTTCCTGCCTCAAATTAATTTCCTGTTCACCTCCTTAACTGTCAACAAACTAAAGCCCACTTCATTTCTTTGCGGTTGCTGCATGGTCACAATCATCTCACTCAGTTTATTCAATTTATCAGCTTGTGGGGAGGCCGCCAATAACCTATTTCCACCAGCTCTGGACAAGGTGTAGCCTTAATGTAATGTAACAGTTATTCACCTCTCACTTCCGTGCTCACACACTCATAGGTGTGTGACTGTAGCACACGTTTGGTGTTAATAATCTGTGTGCAAGACACATTCGGCTGGAGGTGGGAAAACAATGAGATGCAGTATTGGGATGCTTGATTATAGGGCTGTTGGTTTGGGTGCTCCACTCTATCTGTCAAGTCACAGGAGAGAAGTAATGGATTGTGAATGGCCACTAGAATTTTAGACACAGTTTTTTTTACACTCTTTGCACTATGGGAATAATCATTTCGCACCCACAGCTGTTTTCGATACTGGCATTTTCTGTTGTGCAAAATTCTTTACATGTATCTCTATAAGTCTTACACTGCCTTATTTGTTCCCTCCAGCTGCTTACCAATCATTACGAACAGAACTGGAAGTACTACTGCCTCCCATCTGGCTGGGGCAGCTTTGGAACAGCATCAGAAGATGAACTACTGCTCACCAAGAAGATCTTCTGGGGAGTGTTTGACTCTTTGTCCCAGAGGGTGAGAAACAATTCGACTTCCTATTTCTCTTTGTTTCTGACCACATGCTTTTCCTATACACGTGTTTGATGAATGTTTGAGATGAACGTCTTATAGATAACCACCTTCTGAGGACATGTTACCACACTTGCTCCATAAAAATGAGAAACACCTTAGTAAAATGGGCAGCATTAAGTTTGGTTAACGAATAAACATGTGAGGCCCTCATTGACACGTATACCTTATTAGCAATGCAGATAACTGGACTCAGCACATCTTTCTAAATGCTTGCTAATTAAAGGAGGCTATGCCAAAGGCTGGTCTGCAAACATCAATATCTTGGGAGCCATCATTGATCCGAAGCCTCGAGCCTGCTGGTTCGTCAGCTTTTAGAATTATTCTTCATTAACATCTCTTCCTCTGGCCTGGCACAGACTTGAGACTTTACAGCTTTATTTAGATCCAGCTTAAATTGACAACAAAACAAACTACTTCTATTTTTAAAGTAAGATTCCTGCTTGGAGAACTTATTGCAAAGCATGAATGCCACTCTTAACTCGTTCTTTTTCTTTCCATGCAGAAGTATGACCCAGAGCTGTTCAAGATGGCCATGCCTTGTCTCAGTGCCATCGCTGGAGCCTTGCCACCAGATTACGTTGATGCCTCTATGAATACTGCTTTAGAAAAGCCTTTTTCTGTAGATGCTCAGGGAAACTTTGACCCTAAACCCATCAATACAGCTAAGTAAGCCAGAGTCAGAAATCAATTAAATATGTTGCATTGCCCCGCAACTACATATATTGAATTTTTAAAGAAATTAAAGTGACTTCACTAACATGGTTATTTATTTTGTTTTATTTATAGCATTGCTCTTCCAGAAAAGCTTGAACATTTTGCCAACAAATATGCTGAGCATTGCCATGAAAAATGGTCAGCAGAAAAGGTAGGGAAATAAACCTGAGCATCCAAGTGGGGTGTAAAGGGGCAGAATTAAAGAAAAACATGTGTTGTGAGATAAGGTAACACAAATATCTTGAGCTGAAAACATACTTGCTCATTTTGCTAACAAACACTCCATTCTTGCATTAGTGAGATGCTAAAGCAGATCGTTTTATAGATATCATAGATATCAGTTTATAAGGGGGATGTAACAAATGCATTATGCCTTCTTAATATCTGAAACATGAAGTCACTCCAAATTATAACCCTAATAAGCAGGGAGTTGAATGTGTCATGGATGGCTTTTACTCATCTGCATCTCATTCTGCTTCTTTTTCAGGTGCAGCTGGGCTGGAAATATGGAGACTGCGTGGATGAGAAGGCAAAGTTTCACCCTCAGCTCAGGACCTACAAAGCCCTGACAGAAAAGGTGCAGTACTGCACAGCACACAGGAGAGAACGTGAAGATTAATGCCTCACAGTTTATTATTTGTTCTCGATTTCTGACACCTTGCTCCAGGAGAAGGAGATTTACAGATGGCCAATTAGGGAGTCTCTGAAAAGTATGCTGGCAATGGGCTGGAGCATCGACAGGACAAAGGATGGAGAAAGCATGTCCCTACAGAGGGAGAATGAGAAAATGAGAAAAATATCTCAGGCTTCTCAGGTACTCTTTAAATATGACGGGTGTCTTTTGTAAGGCTGAAAACACAAACATTTAATTGCCTCTCTGTTACACTGCACCATTTATAACGTATTGTAAAAGGTTTGTAATGCAGGCAGGCAGAGGTGCAGAATCAGTATGCTTTAAATGAAGGTCATAAAAGCAATTCTGTGTCTGCTGCAAATAGTTTGTGATGAAGCAGTACGATAAAGTCAGCATCCAATACGTGTGGTGCAAGAAAATCCATCCGTTTCATCACGTGGCTTTCACAGCCACCACTGTAGGAAAAATATGATTACGTTCCAATATTATCTTCATAAGTTTTTTTTAAACAAGTGCTACCACTTGGAATTACAAAAAAAGAACAATTAGCCATAATGTCATGATGACCATTTTAATATTGACCGTGCTGACAAGAATGAGGTCATCAAAGCCGTACAATCTCAGTAATGATTTGACATTTTAGGGGACATAAAGTAATTCAGTGTTTTGAGCTTTTTAAAAGTTTTATTGTTAACCAGCTTTGGTAGTGAATCCATGAAATCTTAACACCTGTTTTAAGTGATTATTTTTCTTATGTCTTTTCACTAAAGATTAAAAACAAAAAAAGTACTCCTTACTGTGTGCTGACAGCAACCATTTCTACTTCCATTTCCAGGCCAACGGCTTCAATCCGAGCCCAATAGACACAAGCAATGTGGTTCTGTCCAGAGAACTGCAGGTGAGGGTGTGCGTTTGTTTTGCTGTAAGTCCATCCTTTTTGTTTCTAACGACCTCTCCGACGAATGTGAGATCAAAGGCTAGACATCCTGGATGTGAATTAATCACATCAATGGGGTGCACTCCTTGCTGAGTTAGTCTCTTTTTGTCTTTGGTGCAAGGGGATGGTGGAGGTGGTGGCTGAGAATTACCATAACATCTGGGCCAAGAAGAAAAAAAGTGACCTCGGAAGCAGAGGTGAATATCTAATGAAGGCAATCACGAACACATTCTGCACAAAGACACCTGCAGCGCAGACAGGGAGACACTTGTTATGCATCTATGTGGGTGGATTAAAAGTGCTGAATGGAGGCTGTGGTGTTGTTATGAGCTTCTGAGTGTAAGCAGGAGTGTGTCCCGCTGATCTTGACTAAACATGTTCAGCTGAGAGGTGCTGCCACTCCATCTGCTCTGGCATAAAGGCAGAGTTAATCATGTCTGAACGCTAGGTTATTGTTGGTTTCAGGTGGAGGAACGCATCCTCTGCTGGTACCCTATGACACGCTGACAGCTAAGGAGAAGGCCCGTGATCGAGAGAAGGCTCAGGACCTTTTTCGCTTCCTGCAGATTAATGGCTACAGCATCATAAGGTCAATCCGCAGAGAGTATGTCACCGGTGTTATATTATTATCTTTATGGCACTTTGCAACCAACTTTTTTGGAGAGCTTTGTTTAGTGTAATTAAATGAGAGTAAAATGCTCAGAGAAGACACATATATAGTTGTCGTTTTTCTTATGTTGCAGAGGTCTGAAGGACTTAGAGCAGGATTCTTCCTCCATGGAGAGGAGGTTTGCCTACAAATTCCTCAAGAAGCTGCTCAAGTGTGTCGACTCTGCCCAGGAATTTATTGCCCACTTAGGTAAACAATATCACAGTTAAAAGGGTAAAAAGTGATATGCAACAGTCTCCTTTATAACTAAATATCTTTTCTATACATAGAGGCCATGGCTGCCAGTGGGAAAACAGACAGGTCACCTCATGAACAGGAAATCAAGTTTTTTGCCAAAGTACGGAAGTAATAATAAGATGATCATGTTATATGGATTACTCTTTTAATTTTCCATTCCCATCAACCTGATCTGGCCATCGATGTTTTGCTTCAGGTTCTTCTCCCTCTCATCGACCAGTACTTCAAGAACCACTCTCTGTACTTCCTCTCCTCCCCCAACAAGAACCTGAGCAGCAGTGGCTATGCCTCAAACAAAGAGAAGGAGATGGTAACCAGGTAAAAATGTTCACACTATACGATCGCTATGTTGCATGATAGTAGCATACAGTAACCTCCTTTTTTCTGCTTCAAATCGTAATCTCTTTTTTTCCAATCTTTGAATTAACCCATGGTGATTTTCTGATTCCCTCCCTGTTTCTATTCTTCACGCCTTCAGCTTGTTTTGTAAACTGGCAGCTCTTGTAAGACATAGGATTTCACTCTTTGGTAAGCTGATTAAAACTGAGTGCTCTGGGATGTCTGGATGCCTGCATTTGTGTGTGTGTGTTGTCTTTAGGCTTTTATTAACAGCTTCCCAATTTTTTTTTTCCTCAAACATTTATCTATAAAAGTTCCTTTGGGCCTGCAATGAATGATTTGAGATAATGTATTCTTTTTTTTCCTCATTTACTCCCTAAATATCTTTTTGCCTCGAGTTAAATGAGAAACTAGAAGAGTGAAAGCTCATAGAACCAAATTCTAAAATTAAGTTACCAAGTAGGGACTGTGCAAAGTGAGATATTTTATAGGCAGAGCAGGCACAAAAGAAAGAAAAAATTAGAAAGCCAGGGTGAATTTATTGGCATAGAAAGTATGTAATAACTAGACAAAGACCAGGAGAAAACCTGGTAGTAAAAAACAGGAACACACTGTCTTCACATCATCCTTACACCGTCTGTGTTTGTGGTCATTTTAGGGAGCGACTCCACCACCATGGTCAGCTGTCTGCATATCCTGGCACACACACTGGACACCAGGTGGGTGCAAATCAGCCAATGTTCTGAGCACACAGGAACTAAGCAGCTTTCAGTTTTCTTGTTGAAATGAAAAGTAAAAATACCAAAAAAAACAGAGGACATTTAGTTTTATAATAATTCAGTTAAACATAAACTATTTCTGGAAGCCAGTTACAGCCTTCCACAGATAAGTGGATCTAACCCCATCTTCACCCTAAAGTGGATCATAGTCGTTGCGGCCACAATTCTTTTGGGAAGCACTGTCATTTACTAATAGTCAGCTCTGGCATTTAAGTAAGCAGCACAAATTCATGCAGCACATGTTGCACCGTCTTTGGAGACGGTGTACCGTTTGTTAATGCAACTCACACATAATGAGGCCAAATCAGCTATGCATTATTGTGCCTTGTTTGTGCTCAAGCGCTACAGCTGATGCACACAGACTCCATTTCTCATTTTTCCTGCCTTCTATGACACATCAAGCCTTAACAATGGGCAGTTAATTTACCAATTTTATGAACTGTGAAATGCTCAAAACAGACACACTAATCATATTAATGCTTTGTGCTATTTCACGTAGTCCTCTCTAAGCCCCATTTCCAGCAGACTCACCTTGAATTGAATTGAATATTCCCCAGGTTCATTGAATAAATAATTTATGTTTTCAGTGCGAGGGCAGTCAGGCTGATGCGCACGTCTCATATTTCATCACTACAACCTTTACAGACTGCGGAACTGAAGTGATTGCACATTTGCATACCTGGAGGTTTCCACCAGTTGGCTAAACCCTTCTCTCGCACACCTCTTTGCAGTCATTTTTCATGCCTCTCTTCACTCGAACAGGACGGTAATGAAGTCAGGCTCGGAGCAGGTGAGGATGGGGCTGAGGACATTCTTTGAGAACGCTGCGGAGGACCTCGAGAAGACTTTCGAGAACTTGAAGCATGGGAAGTTCACTCACTCCCGCTCGCAGATGAAAGGGGTGTCGCAGAACATCAACTACACCACCGTGGCCCTGCTCCCCATCCTAACTGCTCTGTTTGAGCACATCACTCAACACCACTTTGGAGTAGACCTGCTTTGTGAGTCCTGGCAGAAAACAAATGATCAAACAGGCTGCTTGAAAGGCTGCACAAAAAAAAGCATCAGATGTCTTGTTTATTGTACTACACGATTAATACACTATTCGCACATGTAGGAAGCTTTCAGCAGTTCTTTAGAAAACATTCTTACATCTGTCAGACACTGTTATGTGTACTGAGCAGTTTGACATATTCTACTATGCAATTTTTGACAATCAGTCAAGAGAGGTGGATGTCTCCTTCTAAAAACCAAGCCCAGCCATCAGCTACATGAATAATTGTGGTGAGAAGCATGAACTTTTGTTGACCATGGACCTAGAATATTTGCAACCTAAAATTTGACAGGAGTGATGATTAGTTACAAAAACATTGTTTGTCTACACAATGCTTATCTCATCGTTTTCTCTATCAGCTTTACAGATAACATCTTGGACCTTTATTTTTCTAATTTTTGTTCTCTTCATATTCCCAGTGGATGATGTCCAAGTATCCTGCTATCGAATCCTGACCAGTCTGTATGCACTAGGCACTGGGAAAAATATCTACGTGGAGAGGTATCCTGAGCTTCAGCGTATCATTGACTGAGCAAACTTTGGCAAATAAACTCATGCCCTTCATCTTCGTTCCTCAGGCAGCTTCCTGCCCTCGGTCAGTGTCTGGCGACTCTGGCTGGGGCCATTCCTGTGGCTTTCCTGGAGCCGCTTCTGAACATGTACAACCCCAGCTCCGTGTTTAATACCAAGAGTGCCAGAGATCGCGCTGGTGAGAAACGTTGATCATTTCCAAATGAAAGGCTGCTAAGAGTTGTCGTAAACAAAGGACTGCCATTATCAAAAGATAAAGGTTAATATACAGTAAAAAAAATGCTGTAGTCACGTCTCAGTCCTGTGTTATCTTTTAGTCCTGGGGATACGAGACTCTGTGGAGGAGATGTGTCCCGGAATGCCGCGGCTTGATGGCCTAATGAAGGACATCAACGATATGGCTGAGTCTGGAGCACGATACACGGAGATGCCTCATGTGATCGAGGTGGTGCTGCCAATGCTGTGTAACTACCTGTCCTACTGGTGGGAGAGGGGTCCTGAAAATCAGCCAGCCATGGGGGGAAGCATCTGCTGCACCACCGTCACCTCAGAGCACCTGAGTGTCATCCTTGGCAATATCCTAAAAATCCTCAACAACAACCTGGGAATTGATGAGGCCTCGTGGATGAAGAGAATTGCAGGTGGGTGGAGGATTCCATGGCAGATCACTGCTATAGAATGACATTATGAGGACTTAAACTGATTAAAAAAATCGGGTCACCTTGTTATTTTAGGTGCTTTTATGATTTACTCAATATCACTACAATCATATAGTTTTCATCATGACAGATAATGTCGTTTTTTTCTTGCATTATTTAGTGTATGTGCAACCCATCATAAGCAAGGCTCGCGCAGACCTGTTGAAGAGCCACTTCCTGCCCACGCTGGAGAAACTCAAGAAGAAGACGGTGAAAGTGGTGGCTGAAGAGGAGCTTCTGAAGGCAGACAGTAAAGGGGACACCCAGGAGGCCGAGCTACTCATCCTGGATGAGTTTGCCGTGCTCTGCAGGGACCTGTACGCCTTTTATCCCATGCTCATTCGCTACGTGGACAACAACAGGTTAGCTGAGGGAGCAGTCACTTAAGATGTTGTTTTCAAGGCGTTTTTTAATAGACAATGGGACAGATGTTGATGTGTGCAGAGGGTAACAGTTAGTGATGATTCTATATTTACTGCTGCAGGTCCAGGTGGCTCAAAGAACCTGATTCTGACTCCAATGAGCTCTTCAAAATGGTGGCAGAGATATTCATCCTTTGGTGCAAGTCACATGTAAATGCTCAAATTGATATAAGTTTATCACTTACAAAATCCATGTCACATATGCACAACTGATATCTGGTATCTTTTTATTTTCCAGAATTTCAAAAGAGAAGAACAGAACTTTGTGGTTCAAAATGAAATCAACAATCTTTCCTTCTTGACCGGAGACAGTAAAACAAAGATGTCTAAGGTAGCCTTTATAACTGCCCACTGCCTCTTAGCAGTTCTTTTCTTATTCAGGGTTTTACTTTGCTACAGAATAGCACTCTTTCAGTCATTCTGTGCAGTTTTACCCACCATGAAATTTAATTTAATTGATTTTGAGAGAGACGAAACAAAAAAGCCTCTTAAATAAATTAATTTAAGATGCATGTTAACATTTTTTCTGCCATGTTAACACATTCTTTGTGTGTACATGTGCTCATATGTTAACATGCTGAATGTTCAAGAGATTTGTGTTAGCACGTACCTCAATACACACACCTGTGACAAAGACGAGTCATACTGAAGCACCTTTGCTGGAAATTTGAAGCAGTATTGTATGCAACTTAAAAGGTTGCTATGGTAAAAAGTACACGTGTGTGTATGAATATTAATACACAATCATGTTTGTTACACTGGATAAGACAACACTAACCTTCATCTCTCAGCTCTTGCCAGCACAGGGATCAGAACATTTGATTTCATGTCTGCCTGGTTCAGCTGTTTTGAGGACTTTGCACATTCATTAATTGTACTCTCATCCTTTTTTCTATCTGCCTCTATCTGTCTGTCTCTTTCTGTCTCTCTATCTCGAACAGTCCTTTAAGGAAAAGGTAGAGTGATGCAGTGCATGAGCTGTTTTCGTACCAGCTTATTGGCTTATATGCTCAAGTTGCTTAGCAGAAAAGCCAATAGCTTGTCCTGCCGTGCTATATAGTCTATAGTGTAGTTATAAATCATGTTACCAGATTATTTGTGGCCTTCATTCATCACAATGTGTGACGTGGTTTCTTTGGTCATTCCTCATCTCCTTATGGTTGGAACACTTTTAATCTGGGGTAATGAAGTCCTGCCCTTCTTTGACAAACCATGTGATCATGTGTGGAGCTGATTGATCGTGAATCTCAGATGTGTTCGGCCCGTAGTTATAGTGTATTTATATGTTGTTGTAGTCTGCGTGTGTGTTTCAGTGTAAGTACGTACATGTATGTATGTTTATCAGTGTTGAAATGAAGTTACCTGTTTTCACTGAGCTAGCTGCTGCTCAGGGCTGGTTTAACATTGCAGGTTTGCATCACTAAGAATGTTTCACAGTCCTTTCAGAAGCACTTCTGCTTTTCAGTATCCGCGTGAAGCCTGCTTTAAATGTTTGAGAGGATAATGATATGATGATATACTTTAGTCACAGTTTTTCCCAGGCTGAAAAATAGATGCCTCAGCTGCCTCTGGCTTCTGTTCAAATACAGCGTTAGTGCTCCCTCTGTTAGACAAAATGCTCTTGACAGGAATTCTGTTAGCGCAACGATCATCTCAGCTACTTTTGAGAGAAAACTTGTCCAGCCGCTCGCTCTTCTACTAAATTTTTTCTGAGGTTGAAATGTTACATTTTCCAGTCTGGCGGTCAAGACCAGGAGAGAAAACACAAGAAGAGGCGTGGTGAGTTCTACTCCATCCAGACCTCACTGATTGTGGCAGCTCTAAAGAAGATGCTGCCGATTGGCCTCAACATGTGCACGCCTGGAGATCAGGAGCTCATCTCTCTCGCTAAGACCCGCTACCTCATGGTGAGAAAGGATGCCACCACAAGTGTCTCAAGTCAAATTTCAACTTTCTTATATGTTCATATAATAGCATTATCGTATGCCATAATATTAACAAAAACATCGATTAGACTATGGCTGAAAGTTTTTTTCCTGCTTTGAATCTGCGAATACCCTCAAAAAGATGTTAGAAAGTCTCATTGTTCTGTAGATTATTTGGAGGAACCAGCATCAAGTAATCCTGACTACATGCATCCACAAGCTGTTTGCTAAAATGCTAGACATGACATTTTTAGTTTAGAAATCATATTGCTTTTCACATCAAAAGATGTTTAACTGCAGCTGAAGTTGATTGAGCTATTCCAATTATTTATCTGAAAGACAATGCAGCAAACCCTCTGAAACACCGTAACACTCTCGGTTCCTTACCGGGGCAAAGTATGATTGAGGATTGTCTTCCCTTGGGAGAGGGCATTTTCAGCTCTCTCACTGGCAGCGATTATCTCAATGCTCTCAAATGTATCTAAAGGTTAGGCATCTAAACTTATTTCCAAAGCTGAAGCTTTTCCAGTCATTTATCTTGGAGAAAAAACATGTATAAAAGGGCAAGTCCACAAGGTTGCTTTTTGTATTTGTTTCCATGTTGACAAAGCCTTGAGCAATGCAACCAGCAGCTAAACCTCAAAACAACTATACTTCCAGGCAGTTTATGTTTCTTCCCTGAGAAAATATCCTGTTTCATATTAGTTCTCCCATTTTACATTATGTAGTAGAATAGCAGTTACAGATGATTTTCTTCTGCACTACATACTTTTAACCTAATGAAATATCATGTCAATACATATTGCTTTTGGTTGAAAGTTGTTCCTGCTCTTTCTCTTTGCTCTACAGAGAGATACAGATGAAGAAGTTAAAGACCATATTCGTCACAATCTCCACCTTCGAGAAAAGGTATAACCTTACTATTTTGTTTAAGGTTTTCATGGCTTCTATTACATGCCTGACATCTTTTTGTGATTTGCAATCATAGTCGGAGGACCCAGCTGTGAGGTGGCAGCTAAACTTATACAAAGACATAGCAACGAGGACAGACGGGCCTCCGAATCCTGAAAGAGTGGTGGATCGTATCCAGAGGATCTCTGCTGCTGTTTTCAACCTAGAGCAGGTCAAACATTGATACATTTGTTGCCTCAGATTCAGCCATAAGTCAGGCTCAGGGTGGGTCTTATTAAAATTGGTTTTGAGGGGGCAAGATTACTGGACAAAGATCTGAATATTCATCAAACTCAAACAAGCTTTCACAGACACAACGACGGCTGCAGAGTTTAATTGGTATTGTGAATAAAAATATGACAGCTTATTCTTCCATCTGTGGTTAAAAACTGTGCATTCTACTTGATTAGTCATAGATGACTAAACTGAAACTGCAGTCATCCGTGAAAGCGCTCTCTCATAACAGAGATAAGGAATGGTGAGTTTCAGGATGATGAGTCACCAAAAATAAAACACTGGCAGTGAGGAATTGCTTGTGTCTGCATGAAGAAAAAAAATAATTCTTGGAAAGGATTTATTTCTGCGGTTTGCCTGGTTGAAATGGCTATTCTTGTCTTTTGATCATATTTTCTGTTGTTCTCTCATTAGGTGGAGCAGCCACTGAGGTCTAAAAAATGCGTATGGCAGAAGTTACTATCCAAACAGAGGAAGAGAGCAGTTGTCGCCTGCTTCCGAATGGCTCCCCTTTATAACCTGCCAAGGTATTGCTGTGCAGTGTTACAACCAAAATGCTCCCACTTTTTATTTTCATTTTACTGTCTCAATGTAACTAGATTTTTTATTTTATTTATGATGATCAGTTTTAAAACTACCGACAGGCAGAAAGCTTCTTTTGGTACACATACAAGATCTGAAAAAGTGCAGCAAGTAATGCAGCTTCAGCTCTTCCACCACAACTTCCTCATCTTTTTTCCTCTCTGTTTGTCTTACAGTCCTCTTTCCCCTCTCTTGGGTTCTGTGCCTGCATTAATGAACAGCCCTCCTCTGTTTGTAAAACACATGTCTAGCCTATAGCTGTTATCTACTTATAAGAGTAGAAAAGATTGGACACTGGCAATTTCATGGCCTGTTGCTCTGTAACTCAATCACAGGAAGTCAGGCAGAGTACTGCAGTACGGGGGAAAATAATTATGAGGTCTGACCTCGGGGTGGCTGTTTTCAATATGTGCTCAGACGAAGCCACCTGCCTGCCTGACAGCGGGGCTCATTTATTGAGAGTTGTCGACGCTGAAATATGATCAAGCATAGCTTATAATTACAAAGTTACACGCACAATGCTGGAGCAGCTATTTTATTTTAGAGTTACGTCTATGCGAGAGGTAAAGATGTGAAGCTACCGCACAGGGAATTTCTCACTATCATATGCAATGTTTTCATCTTTTGTGTCTCAGTTAAAACGTTGTTTCTGTCCTCGGTTTCACAATTTCTTGTGCCTCTACCTCATCCCCTCAGGCACAAAAACAAAAATTACTTCCTGAACGCTTACCGACACATTTGGCTGGAGATAATGCATGTGAACACAGACTATGACAGTCTGCTCTCAGTGCTGACGGTAATGTAACTCGGACCCAGTGTTGATGCCCCTTTGACTTGCAGTCTTCTCCTCAGCAACCATTTACTTTCCTTCAGGCCTGGTTTCCGCCACGAGTTTTGACCCTCATTTTCATTGGTATTTCCACTGGCCCGCACATTTACGGTAACACAGCAAGCTCGGTCAGGAGTCTGCCAGACAGAGCCTGTTGCCTCAGCAAGCCAAACAAATCGATTTGATGTTACAACTTGGTCAAGGGTTGCTAATTGATTAATTGTCATGACACAGTACAAAAAACAATAGGTAATGAAATAAAAAGTGTTATATAATCTGGATGACCATCTTACTTTTCTCAAAATATTGTTATCTAGCTTTCAGCTAAAACTATGCGAACTGCTAAGAAATGGGTCTATTGTCATGTGAATTCTTACTCATTCACATTTTAACAGCTGTTAACAGGAAGCGTGTACTTGTTAGGTAACCAGTTGGATGTGCCAGTGGCCCCAAACTAACTGTTATGAACCTCTCCCAAATGGACCCGATTCCTGCTTTGCACTCTTATCTAACCCTGGCGAATCTCCTCTTACCCCTCCTTAGGCATCGCTCTATTAACCTCTTCCTCCTGGCCTATCAGAGAATATGGATAGAAACAGAGGAGTACTCTTTTGAGGAGAAGCTAGTGCAGGACCTTGCAGTAAGTATTTGTGTTTCCCCACGCTCAGTTCTTTCTTGTTGGTGTTCTTGTGCTTAGGGAGTTATTACTGGTACTGCTCTTATCTACTTGGAAATGCCGGTGCCGAAAGTCTCAAATTCACCCACTTCCACTGTGTATCACTGAGTCATTCTCAGGCATCGGTGCCGTCTTTATCTGTAGCTCTCTTTGGTTGAGCATGACATCACTGCTGATGTCAGAGCCAGCCGATCTCAGTTGGCCTCTGCGGCCCATCCAGCAGAGGTAAGCAAGCATCCAGGCAAGATGCTACGACTTACCGAAGACATGTATAGAAGCTTTCTTTCTATTTTTTATACCTTCACAGCCATAAAGCTTTACGGTCTTTCACTGAATTTGCTGCAGTGAAAGAACGTCATTAGCTTTGCATCTTCACACAAGTGCTTCAGAAAAATCAATCCAACCATGAAAATTAAATCCACAACTCGAGAATGAATACACTAAATTTAAGGATGGTTTTTGTCTCTCTGTGAGGACACACAGTCAGCCAGACGATGTTAATCCTCCGAGCTTCGGCTGAACTGAACTGGAGCTGTTCAGTTCCAGGAGAACCAATCATCAGGACGGAACAAGTTTCAATTCTTAGGACATTGCAAATATTTATGAAGCCAGAAACCTTCAGAAACGCTCAGAAGCACGACAAAGTAAAAGAAGAAAGACAAAAATAGATTTCAGAACACCTAGGTTTTTACAAAACATTTCACAAAGGTACAAAAACAACAAAAAAACAAGCATGCATATGGATACACTGTTAGTGAAAGCAAAGCCAAAGACAAAAGAAAAAAAAAAGAAGAGTTTCTGAACATAAAAACAAAATACAACTTTTCCCAAAAGACGAATGTTCAACCCAAAAACACAACCGAAAACTTTGCAATCCAATAAGACAGAAAACTCAGTTTTGAAATAGAAACCGTAACGTAAAACACTCAATTTCAGAGATGTAAATTCTGGAACTAATTGGCTACTTTTTGTCATTACACAAATAATAAATCAGTTTGTTTTATTCAAAAAGAGCTCTAGTGCAGCTATTATTTACCTTGGTTTTGTTTCCATATCTCTCTTTATTTTCCAATTTCCAATTAAAACTAGTAAGCATGATAAAATGGATCCATTCATACAGAACAAACAATTTAATGTCAGCAGGAGAGTCATGCTTAACCCCGTATACATCTGGCATTATCTAATTCAACCCTTTCTTTGTGTCTTCTTGTGTGTACGTGTATGTGTACTAGCATGAATTTCCCCATTAAGAAAATCTATGCATTTGCTCGTGGTCCATTTTGTGCACGCTCTCCTTTGTTTTTATCTACATGAGACCTGGATGTGTAAAGAAACCTTTAAAATTCCCTGTTCCTACTATTTGTTAGAATGCAGAATCCATTGGCTCAACATGATATGATTGAGTTTAGGAACACTCACCACAGCTTCTCATCGGATTTGTATGTATTTGTCCAGAAAACGCAACCCAAGATGGAGGAGGAAGAAGAGGAGGAGGTCAGGAAACAGCCAGACCCTCTTCACCAGCTCATTTTGCATTTCAGCCACAACGCACTGACTGAATGCAGGTATGATACATACACACACACACACACCTGGTCTCTTGGCATCGGTACAGGTCGCTCCATCTGTGCTACATAATTGTTTTGGCACACTTCTGAGCTAATAAAGAGAACGTTAAGTATAAATCATAGCTATATTTTGTATTATGAAGGAAATGCAAGCAGTTTTTAGTATTTCTCTCCAGTCTTGCTGGTACAGCAGCTAAAATTATATGAGATGTGAATATCAGCTGTACAAAGTTTAACCACCAGATATTTATCTTCCTTCCTTGTTAGTTCATTGGAAGAAGATCCCTTGTATATCGCCTATGCAGATATGATGGCAAGGGTAAGTCATTCTTTGAATTGTTCTTGAATGTTGGACCTGTGAAAAAAGTGAGTTTGACATCCGCCGTCTCATTCAGAGTTGTGCCGAGGGTGAAGAAGAGGAAGAAGAGGAAGGCAAAGAGAAAACATTTGAGGTACTTAATATTTTGCTAAATGTCCAGCATCTCAGATGGATTTGAATCCATTTCAATCAGATCTGTTAAAGGTGTGTTTTTTTATTTCATGCAGGAAAAGGAAATGGAGAAACAAAAAATGCTGTATCAGCAAGCTCGGCTGCATGACCGAGGGGCTGCAGAGATGGTGCTGCAGATGATCAGCGCCAGCAAAGGTAAGGAAACGCGTGATGGGGACTCTGCCGTCTGTGGAGAGGTTCTAATTTGTTTTTTTGCCAGGTCGCCTTGCTGCCACTGTGACTTTCACCCTCAAGCTGGGCATCTCCATCCTCAACGGGGGAAACATACTGGTCCAGCAGGTACTCAGCACTTTACAAGCTGAAGAGTGGACAGATTCTGCTGTTGTAGTTTTTTTAAATTTTGTTTATTTGTTGTTATACAGAAAATGCTGGACTATCTGAAGGAAAAAAGAGATGTTGGATTTTTCAAAAGTTTATCGGGACTGATGATGTCCTGCAGGTAATGCAGCCCTGATTGTTTATCACAGTAAGAACGAATTTATTTTTCTTGGTTTGCTCTATTTTGTGAGTGCATACAGAAGGTTAATTCTGAATTAAAATGTTTTTGATGTCTAGTGGTTTTTTATGTTAAATTGGTGGAATACCCCTTTAGAATATCTGGTTCCAAAATGCATATAGTTAAGTGTGTTTGTGTTTTTTTTCTGACAGTGTCCTCGATTTGAATGCTTTTGAAAGGCAAAACAAAGCCGAAGGTCTCGGGATGGTGACTGAAGAGGGATCAAGTAAGTGAGGACGACAACGTTGTAACGTGGTAAACTCCAACATAGCACTTGCTGACATTAAACTTCGTGAGCAACTGAATTTAAATCGTATTGATACACAGAGCACTTACCCAAGGAAGAGTGAAAATAGACTGCAGGTTATTTGCTTGTCACTGCCGAAAAGTTGCAACAAAGACAGAACCCTAACAGTAAAGGTTCAGCAGTTTAGCGTGCAGCACTCTGTGGCTTTTCTAAATGCTGATACGCTGCTGACTGGAGAGTATCTTCATAAACTGCCAATGAAAAAGCGGTGATAAAACTGGTGGATATCGAGTTACTTAATGATAATGTGTTTGATCCAAGTTTCTGCGTAGTCGACCTTGTCTAAACCTTTAGCGATGTCAGCCTGCGAACAGCCCTTATTTTCTGTTTTGAAACAATGTGCAATCGTCACAAAAGAGATGCCCAAGGATTAGCTTGACATTTGCTCTTCCGTTTGTTGTTGCCCAACTCCATCTCCATGTCACATGTCCCTTGTTTTGTGTCGTCATGTCATCCTGCAGGTAAACCTGTGCTACTGTATGTCTAAGTCCTGTCTCAGCCCTGCCACTAAAACACACTCGCAGTCACAAGACAGTGCAGTAAACAACCACTTTTTAATCTGAGGTTTCTATTTAAACTGATGGATTGCATACAGTAATTAAGAATATTTTTTATCATTCATACCCCAGTTCATTTTCACTTCATAAGCCCAGGCATAAGTGATGGTAACTTAGTTTGTCTAACCTATAAAGCCCTGCCGAGAAATAAAAACTGTTCATCAAGACTTTTAAGAATGGTTACTGTATGTCAACGTCATAAATCGATGTATGTGAAGTATATAGCTACAGCCCTATCATTCTCTCCTGTTCCTACTTCTTATGATTGAATCTCAATGTCTTCTCCTTTGCTTATGTCTGCTTTTGTTTTGTTTGTTTTCTTCTGACCATGTTTTTATGTCATCGGTCGCAGTCAACGTGAGTGAGCGGGGTAAATACATGGTTTAGATTCTATTCCTTTTATGCAATGCTGATATCTTGACTGCTCTCCGTCCCAATCCTGTTTTTCCTTTCATTCCTCCCGGTCCCATCCTTCTACTTTCTCCCCCTCCCTTCCTCTGAATGCAATTTAACCACCAGCTCTGTACCCTGGACCGAACGAACGCATGCATGCTGTTTTTGCATCGGCTCATGGTCAGACTTCCAAAACGTAGTCAAATCTTTCCGCTTCATCTTTTATGATAAGACAGTGCTTATTATTTGTTAGGAGACCTTTTTTCATTTGATTATACTAACTGTTGATTGTGAAGAACTAAATCTCCGAAAGCTTTGTTAATGCAATACAACAAAGCTTTGCTGGAAATAAACAACAAGGCTCAGTTTTATTCCTCTCTTTACCCTTATTTTGATTTTTGAAATGATGCATTTGACTGTTTGTGTGTGCTCCTTAGTCTGAATTTAATGCATATACTTTGATGTCGTTGTCTCTAGATGTTAGCTTTATAAATAGGTAAATGCTAAGCAAATTATTTTGCCTGTGTGGAAATTAGAATAATGCATATTTGAGCTTCTTATCACTGTAAAGGACATATAATTCAATTTCCTGTCCTCAGGTTCAAAGGTACTGCAGAACGATGAGTTTACTAAGGACCTCTTTAGGTTTCTGCAGCTTCTCTGTGAGGGTCACAATAATGGCAAGTGAGCTTTTTTATCTATAGTTAAAGACAACATGATCTTAAGATGCATGTTTTAGAAGTATAATCTCTAAGGTACCCAATTGAAAGAAATAATTATTTTTGTCAATGCTTTTTTCCCCCGTCAATTTCAATAATTTCTCCAGATTTTCAAAATTTCCTGAGGACTCAGACAGGAAATACAACTACCGTCAACATAATCATTAGCACTGTGGACTATCTGCTCAGACTCCAGGTATCACCACGGTGCATATCTTATACAGAAATGTATTGTATACTTTAGAAAAATAGGGGGTTGACTTTCTTTTTCTTTGTTTCTAGGAATCCATAAGTGATTTCTACTGGTATTATTCTGGTAAGGATGTCATTGATGAAGCTGGGCAGAGAAACTTTTCCAAAGCCCTGGCAGTGGCAAAACAGGTCTTCAACTCTTTAACCGAGTATATTCAGGTATGTCATCACAGCATCACAACACAGCTCCAGTATCAATATCTGGATTACAGCGCATAAATAGCCTGGCCTGTAAACTCCAGAGGGTGTTCGTGCTTATGTAATTATCCGTGTTCCTTCTGTGTGCTCCAGGGTCCGTGCATCGGTAATCAGCAGAGTCTGGCTCACAGCAGGCTGTGGGATGCAGTGGTGGGCTTCCTCCACGTTTTTGCCAACATGCAGATGAAGTTATCGCAAGTATGTCTCGTGTGGGAAAAAATACAGCGTTGTTATTTTGTATTACAGAAATATATACTGTATTCCTTTTTGTTACTTGGTATTTCTCTTTCAATCACTGTCCGTATCGTTTGTAGCTTTTTACCTTCACTGGAGATTTTTCACAACTGATTCATAGACTGTTGATAGGCTGTTGAAAAACCTACTATAACCAAAACCGCCTTTTCTTCAGGCTCTATATATCCACTTGGATGTAGCCCAAATGTGGAATCACAAACATGGAGGCAGTAAACAGGAACTTACAGTTGCTTAAAGCATCATTATGAGGCAGCTGTTGAAAGGCTGCAGCACAAACCAAATCTATGCTGATGTCAGGGTGTATTCTCAGCTATGATTAATTTTATTTATAGATTAATGTGTGGGTTATCATCAAACCTCCAGTGAACTTAGTGACATCCTGACATTCAACAGCAGCGCCTATGAGTTCAGCGCATATATTTGTACATGTAGGTTACTGTGAATTTATCTGTAAAATCTAAAATTAAAATATAAAACGAGCTAAATAAAGGAGTAGTTTAAATCAAACTAGGTTTTTTGAGTTTGGAAAAAATCTATACACCTTTGATGTTTTATATCACGCCACCAGAGGTCTCCCCAGCCTCAAGGATAAGTCCAGGTCACTGCAGTATAACTGAATGTTATGTTGCTCTGCCTGCTGATAGATGACTCCATCTATGAAACGTCCAATAAGTCAGTATCGGTATGAAAACATACACCAAACCTTATCTCGTTTCTTTTACAAAGGGCAAGAGTCTGACAGTTGAAATCATGATGAAGGGAGAACACGGGTGGAAGGGGGTGAATTTATCCTATGAAAGTATGGTTTAGATTTATGGCATGTTGAGCACGGGCTCTGTGGAGACCCTAAATGAGTCAGACTGACCCAGCCATCTGCTCCTAGATGGTAAAATAACATCAGCCCTGCTGAAGATGGATGGATGTTACCTAGAGGGACCTTCTGCTCCTCAAAATAATTTCAAGAAGCCTTCATTCCTTTTAATGCAGCTCAGGGTTATTGGGAATGGTGGTGCTGTCCTAATGGGAGGGTTTCAGTGGTCTGTGATGTATTCAAAAGGGTTTCCATTTTCTCCTTTCTCCCATCAGGACTCCAGTCAAATCGAGGTATTAAAGGAGCTGCTGGATTTGCAGCAGGACATGATTGTCATGATGCTCTCTCTACTTGAAGGTTAGTCTTTACAAGGCTTTCAAATAAGATTTTTGTTTGTTTTTTTTTTGCAAAGGGAGTGTTTTCTGTTAATCTGTTTACTGAGAAATATGACTATTTTCCCTTTATTGCATCACAGGGAATGTTGTCAATGGAACAATTGGAAAACAGATGGTGGACACCTTAGTGGAATCTTCCAGCAATGTGGAAATGATCCTTAAATTTTTTGACATGTTTCTCAAGTTGAAGGACTTGACTACCTCAGATAGCTTCAAGGAGTATGACTCTGAGAGCAAAGGGGTCATCTCTAAGAAGGACTTCCAGAAATCCATGGAGAACCAGAAGCAGTACTCTCAGTCTGAGATTGAGTTTCTGCTTTCCTGTGCTGAGGCTGATGAGAACGACATGTTCAACTACAAGCAGTTTGTAGAGAGATTTCATGAACCAGCGAAAGACATCGGCTTCAATGTAGCCGTGTTGCTAACCAATCTCTCAGAACACATGCCCCATGATAGTCGCCTATCGACGTTCCTCGACCTGGCCGAGAGCGTTCTCAGTTACTTTGAGCCATTCTTGGGTCGCATTGAGATCATGGGTGGAGCCAAGCGCATAGAAAGAGTCTACTTTGAGATCAGTGAGTCGAGTCGTACGCAGTGGGAGAAGCCACAGGTGAAAGAGTCAAAGAGGCAGTTCATATTCGACGTGGTCAATGAGGGCGGGGAGAGCGAGAAGATGGAGCTGTTTGTCAACTTCTGCGAGGACACCATCTTTGAGATGCAGCTGGCGTCTCAGATTTCAGAGCCGGACCCAGTGGAGCTTGCGGATGAAGATGAGGACGACAGCCAGAGTTTGGCAGAGAACCCGGAAGAGGAAGAGGAGGAGTGCATGATGATGGAGTCTTTGTCAGCCTTCACCATTGCTTGCATCTCAATGAAAAAGAGCTTGTGTAACTTCCGGCAGCTGCTCACTCTCAAGAGCATGAGGCGTCAGTACAGGAAATTCAGGAAGATGAGTGTCAAGGAGATGGTACAGGGCTTCTTCTCCTTCTTCTGGATGATCTTCACGGGCCTCTTTCAGTTTGTCCACAGCCTAGTATGGGGTTTCTTCCACATCTTGTGGACCACAATGTTCGGAGGTGGCTTCGTTGAAGGAGCCAAGAATATGAAGGTGACTGATATTTTGGGAAACATGCCAGACCCCACTCAGTTTGGGATTCATGGGGATGTTTTGGAGGCAGAGAAGATGGAGGCGAATGAAGCATCCGAGCTGGCAGAGATGGGTCAGATGGCCCAGGGTGATGCAACAGAGGCCGACCTCATGGCTGAACTGCTAAACATACAGCCCAAAAGAGAGGGCAAGCATGGGGCCGAGCCGGGTTTGGGGGACGTATCTGAGGTGGTGGTGGGAGATGCTCCGTCGATAGCCAGTGCTGTTAGGCAGAAAAAGCTACAGGTCAGTCATCGTGTTAAAAGATTATGGGAACAGACAAAGTTGTATTCCACATTGGTTGATGAAGATTGTTTGTCTTTCTAGATGGCTGCAAAGACGAGGGCAACAAATGGAGACTACAAATCTGATTCCGAAAAAGGAGAGTGAGTGTCAATTGATCTGTGAATCTACAATTTGTTAATGTATAATAAAATATCAGAAAATTTCAAATAGACACCCAAGAAATAATTCAAGAGCAGGCTATCTGTACACAGGTCCTTTTATAGTGTGTGCATCGTCCGTTAAGAGAAATGTGTCCTTTAGCTTCTATTGCCTAAACACATATTTTTTAAAAGCTGTCTCTAACTTAATCTTAATGCTTTACAGTTCTGAGGATGGTGAGAAAAAGGATCATGACAAGGCCAAAGATGAAGGTCCCCCAGAACCTTCAGCGGAAGAGAAGAGAGCCCCGAAGAAGAGGCTTGGCCTGAGGAAAGAACCACCAGAGGCCTTCATGGCCAGCTTCTTTGCTGGCTTGGAAATCTACCAGACCAAGATGCTGGTCAGATATTTTCCACACGTCTAAGCCCCGTTTGCAAAATAGTCATTTAAGATGTGCATGTGTCTGATTTATGAGCATAAAATAATATCTGAGCATGCCATGGCCCCGGGGTTTCTGAATCTTAGTCTACGTCAGTTGATGGGACAATCCTTGTGACATCTGCAGACATGAGTCAAGCTAAAATTAATGTCAGGAATATGCTGACAAAATCACAGCAGAATAGGGAATGCACATTAATTTGCGTAACTGATAAAAAGGTAGAAAATGAACATCTATGGAGAAATTAACAGGTTTCTGTACCTCTGCCTGCATCTAAGAAGTCCTTCCTGAGTACTTGTTTGAAACGCTCATCCTTACTTATTGTATGATAATTTTTCTACTTAACATGGATTCCTGGTTAGATAGTTACTCTGGTCAAACATCACTCACAAAGCTCCCATAAAAATTGGTTTAGATACAGTAAGAGTGAAAAAACACCCTTTTTGCTATGATAAACTGCTCACAGATATTGTCTTATTGTGCTTCTTCCAGAACTACCTGGCCAGAAATTTCTACAACCTCCGCTTCTTGGCACTTTTCGTTGCCTTTGCTATCAACTTCATTCTTCTCTTCTACAAGGTACTTCCTTTGTGAAACTGATGTACACGGGGAGGGGGTCACATTATTGTGGGCGCCCTGTCGAATTCCCGATGTGGTCTGATTTGCCTTTAAGGTGACCGGTGATTACTCTGATGATGAGGACCCCTGGAATGGTCGAGGGAGAGCCGGGGAGGAGGAGGATGAAGGGGCTCTGGAGTACTTCGTCCTGCAGGAGAGCACGGGTTACATGGCGCCAACGCTTCGCTGCTTGGCGATTCTACACACAATCATCTCTTTCCTGTGTGTGGTGGGATACTACTACCTGAAGGTGAGTTAACTTTCATATAGAACAAGCTATTGGAGTAATATGCGACAGTTACTCATCATTGTGTCAACTTCAATGTGTGCATTCAAGGTGCCTCTGGTCGTTTTCAAGCGGGAAAAGGAGATAGCAAGGAAGCTGGAGTTTGCAGGCCTCTATATCACTGAGCAGCCATCTGATGACGACATTAAAGGACAGTGGGACAGGCTGGTCATCAACACTCCGTGAGTCAGACACATCCCAGCTCTTCAACGCTGAGTCATGATATTTAAAAAACAAAAGCTTAACTCTGATGAATGCATTTCTCTGTTTGAGCAGTTCATTTCCCAACAACTACTGGGATAAATTTGTCAAACGCAAAGTAAGTGGAAAAAGTAAATGTAGTTGCGTCTGTTCTGCTCACCAGCTGAGCCTTTTAAATGTCAGTCACAGTGTCCTGCTCTTTTGTGTTTTTCTGTTTGCAGGTGATAAAGAAATATGGAGACCTGTATGGTGCAGAGAGGATTGCAGAGCTGCTGGGGTTGGATAAGAGTGCCCTGGATTTTAACCCTACAGAGGAAACGGTTGCCAAGGAGGCCTCGTTGGTGTCATGGTGAGAGATTACGCCGATAAATAGCTGCCAAGCTGGGAGAGCTGGAGGCAGAAATAGAGGTCAAACTGAAAATACAAGCCTTTCATATCACCTGTTCTCTGTTGCCAGGTTGGGCTCAATCGATACAAAGTACCACGTCTGGAAACTGGGAGTGGTGTTTACAGATAATGTGAGTTTTGAAATGTGGGGATGATTCATTTTACCTAATCTATATCTGATTTCACGGATGGGTGTTTGAATTGTTTAAAAGATTACACCAAAAGTGAACAGGGGGATCCTTAATCCTTTTTTTGTGCCTCCACCAGTCATTCCTGTATCTCGTCTGGTACACCACCATGTCTATCCTGGGACACTACAACAACTTCTTCTTTGCTGCCCATCTTTTGGACATTGCTATGGGCTTTAAGACCCTGCGCACCATCCTTTCCTCTGTCACCCATAATGGCAAACAGGTGAGAAGGAACAGCGTGATGCAGTTGTTTCTCCAGACAGCAGGGGTCACCGCAGAGTTGTTAACCAATGGTAATTTCACCAGAGGAGGGAAATTGTGACCAAAACCCACATAGTCACACACATAGTCACACATTAGTCACACATACAGTCACTACATATGCCGGGTTCAGGTTAGAAAGGTCAATCAAGAGGCTTTTGGTGTCTGACAACTTTAAAATAAATGGAAAGGGCTGAATTCAGAATGTTCTCCTCTTTGGTTCACCATCTTCATAAAATAATATATGGAGGAAAAATCCACATAGTTATCAGTGATTGTACAGAAGTCAACCAAAAATTAACAAAATAGGCTAAAGAAAATCTTAGAATTAGACATTAGACTTTTTTTTTTTAAAGCAAGGATAGTGATACTGAAATAAATGACAGAAATAAAGTATATTTAGAAGTTTGGGTAAATGGATCAAATGTCTTCAATAAGTAGAAGAAGTAGAAATCAAAATGTAATGTTGCCTAACTCACAGAGGGTAAATATACTCCAAAATGGCGAAGCCACCACGTTCAGACGCAGTGGCGTCAGCGTGGACAGATCAATCATTCTGTCAAACCAAATCTACTCTGCTGTCACTTCCTCTCATTTTGCTTTTGAAGGTTACGCATAAATCAGGCTCTATGGCACATAGGATCATGTGTATTCATTTATTTACTTCTAATAAACAGCTAACAGTTAAGATTTCTCATCTGCTCTGAATGGGGGAACAACCTGTTCTTCAGTTGTTAAAGTGACTACCGTTTTCACATGAAGAACATTCCATAATGGCTGCTGTGTGTTGCTGTGCAGCTGGTGTTGACGGTGGGACTGCTGGCCGTCGTAGTTTATCTCTACACTGTGGTGGCCTTCAACTTCTTCAGGAAGTTCTACAACAAGAGCGAGGATGAGGATGAGCCAGACATGAAGTGCGATGACATGATGACGGTAAACAGATGTAATTGTTCTATCTGCTTAGAGTCATCCTCAACTTATCTCTCTGATTCCCATTTGAACTGAGCCTCCCCGTGTCCACAGTGCTACCTGTTCCACATGTACGTTGGGGTCAGAGCGGGAGGAGGCATCGGGGACGAGATCGAGGACCCGGCTGGTGACCCCTATGAGCTCTACCGCATCCTGTTTGACATCACGTTCTTCTTCTTTGTCATTGTCATCCTCCTGGCAATCATCCAGGGTAAGTCTGGGCTGTGAACACGGAGGCAGTTTGTCTGATCTCCAGAGTTCATCAATAAATTCACAACAGAGATGCGTGCATAAGCTATTTTTTGTAACTGCAGGTTTGATCATCGATGCATTTGGAGAACTGAGAGACCAACAGGAACAAGTCAAAGAAGACATGGAGGTGACAATAATCATTAATTATGGTTATTCTAACACGCACTGAAAAGTGTTTGTCTTACATGAAATTGAACAAGGCATGGTTTGCTTCTCTCAGTCATTTTCAGGGTTATTTTCTCAGAATTAGGAAATCTTTAGAATCTCTGATGACGTATCACAACTGCCAACAGGCTATGTCGTACATAAAGTCGTGCTTTTATGGAGAAAATCACATCAAAACTAAATGAGCTAGTCAAGCTCAGACACAGACAAAGTGCTTGCTATAAACATGTTTTTTAATTTTTTAATTTTCTTTCCTCAGACCAAGTGTTTCATTTGCGGCATCGGTAATGATTACTTTGACACAACACCCCATGGTTTTGAGACCCATACTTTACAAGAGCACAACTTGGCAAACTACCTGTGAGTATGAATATTCATTACAACAATCCTGGTTATTTTCATTCACATCATGCATTGAAGCTTACCTGCAATTTAAAAACATGATTGATAGCTCTAGCACATTAGCACAGCTCTGGGGCCATAGTGGCTAATGTCTGCAGTGGTCCAGATAACATAATCCCAAACGTTAGCTGGCACAATGCTCTGAGAACAGACTCATAATGTGCTTTGTTACTAATTAATGCCAGGGACTTTATTGGGGAATAGGCTTGTGATGGCGTGCTCTCATACAGTATTCATCATGATCTGGCATGCTGTGACACCCACTGAGATACAGCGGCCTGTGGGATTTTATACTTGATTTGAGAAACAACAGGTGATTCTGTGATAGAGATGGGCTGTTGCTTTGTTTTGACCTTTACATAAGAATTTTTAAAGCCCCTCTGATGCATATGTGACATATGTGACTTGTGTATACATACGTAAATATATATATATTTGTTTTTTTTTCAAGGTTTTTTCTGATGTACCTTATCAACAAGGATGAGACAGAGCACACTGGTCAGGTAAAGCCCCGTCACTCAGAGAGACATTCAGAATGGAGGTTGTACTTCCCAAAAGCTACATCAATTGACTTTTCTGAGCAATATTGTGGTAACATACATTTTCTACTTTAAGTTATAGGATTATAGTTTGCACACTGTTTAGTTACGGCCACAAGGTTTGTATTTAAAGAGGAGTAAAAGTATGGTTAAACCTGCACTGCTGTCTAGGAATTGTTTTTGTTCAAAATTCATGAGCAGTGTTCTCTTTGGGAAAGACAAACCATTTGATATGCTCTTTATTGCTTCGTAGACCATTGTCAAGCACAGAAAAGACACAACAGGGAAAAGTCTCTTGAAGTTTCTTCTTCAGATGGACTTTCTTCACATTTTGAACAAGGGTTTCTGTGTGTATCTGTGTTCAGGAGTCGTACGTGTGGAAGATGTATCAGGAGCGCTTGTGGGATTTCTTCCCAGCTGGGGACTGCTTCCGTAAGCAGTATGAAGATCTTCTTGGATAGACCACGCTACAACCACAGCTGCAACACACTCAGACAGTCTTTTTGAAGGGAACCATGAGAAGAACTCCTTTTTTTTATCGAGAATAAAAAGAGTGGGAGGGTTGGGGGGTAGAAGTGTGGGTCATATGCCCTTTTCACCATTGGTACAGTACCTGTCTTTGAGGAAATGGACCTGTAACTTGCTCAGACTTCTTGGTTCTCTATTAGATTTGGAACTTGTCCTTGACAGCGTGTTGCCTTTTACTCCACATAACCCAAGTTATTGCACAATTTTTGTTTCTTCTTTTTTTGTGTGTTCATTTAAGAATTGGTGGGTTGTGTGGGGTTATAAGACAATGTGTCGGTCTTATTATGCACAATGTATGAATGTTGTACTTGAGACTTAATGCCAAAAGAAAAGCAGAGAAATAGAGTAGGCACATAGTGTGCAGAAGTGTGAACTAATGAAAATAAATTCAGATGTAACATTGCATATTAAAGAGAAGTTTGTCGGACAAAGTGGTAAAAGGTTTTAAAAAATGCCTAAAATTCCTCATGAAGTGCCTTACAGTACTGTATCTACATTACAATGAAGCTATGCAAAACGTTTGTTTTTTCCTTTGTTGTATGTTAGTACAGTTTTAGTGGAGCTGTAATTGTCACTGAGCAGATACAGTGTGAAGTTTGTGACTGGACATTTTCATTCGAAGGTGAAAGAAGAGCATTGGTATGTGTTTATTTTGTTGCCAAATGCAGCATAAGTGCAACTGTTCCAGCTACAGAGTGTAAAAATGACACAACAGAATTTACCCCTTAAACATGAACAAACAAAAAAAATGCTATTGTATGGCCATTTGTATGTAATAGCTTTGTTGATCTGTGCATTTCTTTTGATGGAAAAAATAAAGAAGTCATTGAAGAGCGGTTAATGGTAACTCTTTGTCATTAATTCTGAATTTTTGTGGCTTTTGACCACTTTTGTTTTTTAATCTGTCTTTCCGTGTTTCATTTTATTTTATGGTCTAGTTATTTTTCAGTGGTTCATGTTTTAGTTTGTCTTTTCCTTGTTTCTAGTTCATGTTAATCACACATGGGTCCCCAGGTCCTTCCAGTCTGGTTCTACACTTTGCTGTAGGGGCGTCAAATGTCGGTCTTTGAGGGCCTCTGTCCTGAACCAGGACCTTCCTAAAACCTGCAGGACAGCATACTCAGTGGGTCTCAAGTTGGACACGCCTTCTTTACTCCCAACACCTGCGTTAATTGTCACAGCTGCTCTTTATTCTCTAACCCAGGGGTCACCAACACGGTGCCCGCGGGCACCAGGTCGCCCGCACGGACCAAATGAGTCGCCCGCAGGCCTGTTCTAAAAATAGCACAACTCTATAGTGAGTTGCCTCTAAAATTTAATTTTGTTCCGTTGCTATTCTTTTTTAATCACACTTGCATTCATATAGATTTGGTTTAAAATGACAATATCTTAAAAATATGTTAATTATATATTAAGTTTAAGTTTTCTCTAGTTCAAAGGTCAGTATTGTGCACGTGACAAAACAAAACCAGTGTCAGTGGAGTGTAAGCTAGCGGAGATGGGTGCAGTTTCTTACCCCAAAAACATGGGAGAAAAACAAAAGAAAACGTATCACTTTCACAACGAATGGGAGAAGGAGTTCTTTTTTACGACTGTAAAAGAAACCTGCGTGTGTCTGATCTGCGGGGCAACTGTGGCGACGGCAAAGCGGCACAATGTGGAGAGACACTTCACTCCGTGCCACAAAAGCTAGCATGCTAACTAGCCACCGGGAAGCGCACTACGGGCAGAAAAAGCACATCTGAAATACGCACTCACAGTTGCAGTGTCAAGTTACACACCAGATTACAATGCACTGGTGAACAGCATGCAATGCCAATCTGTTAAAGATTTGGTCATGAGATTTCAGATTTCTTTTTAATATGTGAGTAGATTTTTCTTTAACATTACATAATTTATAACTTTTTGAAACATGGTGCAACATAGTTCATGATTTGTTAAAAGGTTTTGTCAGTGGCTAGGGAAAATGAGTGAAAGTGAAAACTCCTATGTAAATGTAGTGATGTACAGTAAGTGATCATCTGAAAATTTAACAGTTGCTGAGATAAATAGAGATAAAGTGGTGGATATTGATATGTTTCCCATTTTGTTGTCACTGTTGTCACAAATGAGTATCATTAATGATTATTAATAAAGTATAGCTAAAAGCATATTGAGGAAATGTATTATTTCAGAAGAGTGTATCAAACTGGTAGCCCTTCGTGTGACTCAGTACCCATGAAGTAGCCCTCCGTTTCAAAAAGGTTGGTGACCCCTGCTCTAACCATTCTCCTCTATACTCATGCTCTCCAGTTCTTCTGTTTGTCAGTGGACCCTTGTTTCCAGGTTCAGGTTATCTTTAAGTCTTTGTTTTTTGGGGGTTTTTTTTGTTACTCTTTTATGGTTTTTGTTGTTGTTCTGTGCTTGAGTGCGATGTCACAACTGTGATGCTGCTGCAGCTTTTAATCCTGATGCTGTGATAAATAGGAAGCAGCTGAGGTAGTGCTAGCATTCGGTTGGCCAGAGAGGTAGGATGGGATCTCAGCAGGATGCATGATGGGAGTTTTAGCCCTATTACCCATGGTGCCACCTGTCAACTCACATCATGTCACCACACCTCGGGCATCACACAGTGCTGCAGCGTGCTGCTGAGAGCAGCCCGGCCTCCTCAGCCCGTAACAGCTCTGCCAAGCTTCTGGTCGTCCCAGCGAGAGAGTTTTTATTTTTTAGATTATCAAGTGACTCACTGCCATTATTCTTCCGCACAGACAAGCTGGGTTTGAAAGGGGTGAGTCAAAGTTCTGCCAACCAAAGAGAGACCTGCATTATTCAATATTCTCTGTTCCATAAAAGCAACAGGGGAAAAAACGTTATGTGCACCATCAGAGATGAGACATTTCTTTGGACTTAATGAAAACTGTGGGTGGCCATTAATTGCGTAAAATGGCAACAGTTAAACCATTAAAGCATCAAATAACTATTAAATGAAAAAAACATAGACTTTTATGCAAAGCAACTCATCTCATAATGAAGCTTTGTGGATACATTAGCATCACCGCATTTTAGACTATGCCAAAGGCTGTTAAAGGCAATTCACGTATTTAGTATTGTATTACATTTGTTTCTCGTTAATATTTTGGGATCAAATTTGACCATACAAACAAGTAAGTTAGTTAAAAAACATTTACAAAAAACATTTCAAAGTTAACATCCTTTATAGGAATAGAATTTAGAAAGCCAAGAGAGAAAAAAAAAACCCTGGTTGCTAGATTGCACCTTGGTAGAATAAAGATGGACTGCAGTGTCTCACAAAATAAAAGCTGTTATTCTGTCATTTTAAGTGTTTTCAAAGGCAGTGAAATATGAAGGGGATGGCTCATTTAAAGGGTTATGTCTAACAAGGGGCCCATGACATATAAACTCAAGACACTTGCTCTCCAGCACAGAGAAGCTTAACACATGCAGAAGCTTCTGACAATTTGCCACAAAATATGACATTTTACTCTTTCTACACTCTCCCCAGGCATGAAAAATCCAATTTTGCACTTGTATACATTTCATAGATTTTATATATTAGATTTGTGGTTTACACAACCGTCATCAGCTCCTCTCTGTCAATAGGTCCCAACCCTGCTTTGTCCGTGTGACTCCCACTGTACTTATCGCTGATGTAACATGACGGAAAGTTGTGTCTGGCCTGTCACCGAGGCCCACTCATGGTGCATGGCTGCAGTGGAGTGACAGATCACTCCAGAGGGGAAAAAAGAGAGCAGCTTGAGCCACAGTCTGTCCCGTCACCTAGAGCAGACAGCCTGCAGACAAGCCACCAACTGGTGAGAAGAGACTCCGTACAGTATGCTCCCCTTGTGCTTCCTGTCAGGAACCTTTCATGCACAATCACACAACAAACAACACTAAGGAAACTAGACCAGCGTATGCCGAGACAAGTGGGAGAGATGTTACTTAGATCAAATAATTATAAGATTTTTAAAACAGCAGGGGCACTTACCTTCATCTTGTAGACGGTGTTAAAGCCCTGTTGTAGCCGAAAACTGCTCAAACTGCAAGACTGCAAGCCCTTCATCGGCCAAACTGCAGCAGCACAAGTCAGATATCGTATCATACAAGGACTTTGCCAATGAATAAATTATCATTCAATTATCATTTCAATAAAGTATTTTAATCCCATCACATTCTCAATGGGATTCGCATCTGGCATGACGTTAGACGTGGGAATTGCAAGTCTTCATATTAAGATATTGAATATTAAAAACCCAGAGTTGTTGTGTATGTAGGTAAGCGTAAGACAACACAATGAAGTGAAATGATGAAAATTGAATACTGCCATGAATATGAATTAGAAAAAAAAACAATAGACTTGCAGAAACAACAAATGTTTTACTTTCTTAACCACAAAACAAAGCCAATCCCTCAGATAGATACAACTGTATATTAACCATATACAGGCTTGCTGTTTTTAAATGCTGAATAAGTCTGTAGCTTCCATGAAGCGTGTTCTGGCAGACGTGCTCACCCTGAAGCAACCAACAACTCTACAGTAGATGTGGGATTCTTTGTGTGACACAAATGGACAGATGGAGCTGGAAAAAACACACACGCACACACACAAATTATTTGTTTAAAGTGGGTTAAGAAATAAGAATGATCATTTTATATTTTTTCTGTTTATTAATTACAAAACAGTGGAAGGAGAAAACTGAAAAGAGAAGAGGGTGGATGAGATTAGATGGGGGTGAGGGAAAAAGAGAAGAGGAAAAAAGAGAAAGACAACCAGCTGCTGCCTGTGTGGACGGCATGGAAAAGCACAATGGTGATGAGCAGGAGCTTGTGAAATTAATGAAGAGGAGCAGAGACAGCCATCAGCAAGCCCATGAAAATTGAACCATGACCAGAGAAAACTATTTGAGCCACAAAGACAACTGTGAAGTAAAGATGTAAGTAAATGAGTGTGTGAGAAATTTACACAAGTCGCCAATTATCACCCTGTTGTTTAAACTGACAGATGTAGGTTTCACTGAAAAAGACAGATGGTCTGTTACAAAAAATGCTGAAGTTTCTTGTGATGTTTTGAAAAGACAAGACAAGCTGGGTGGAGGCTTCATTCAGAATCGTTGGTTTGCAAAACATGGACAGGATAGTCACGATAAATAGGAGAAAAAGGGCTTTTTTCTGTCCAGGTATAAGAGCTATCTCCCTTTGTGTGGAAGCACACATCACATTAAACGGGGCTGGTGCTTTTGAGAAAAAGAAACTCTTCTACATGGCACCTCATTTTAAAAAGCTTCCACCTGAACTGATAAGTATTTTTGTTCACAACACACAAAAAGTTTAGGATTTTTCACAGAGAATAAGGTCTTTTTTTATCGTTTAGATGTTGAAGGTTAGATGGAACTGGTGCTGCAGGGCCAGCAGTGCAGGCGTGGCCCTGGTGCAAGTTCAGCAGTGCTGAGTGAGGGGTTGAAGGGAGCTGAACAGGCTGCCGCACACTCCACTGGTGTTCTATTGTGCTGACACAGCAGGGGACAAGTCAAGTACAGAGCCACCTCTGACACCATGGGCCAAGCCTCTTTAGACATAATGAGAGTTAAGAGGATTGCGCATTAAGCTAGACTTTACATGCTTGTATATAATGTGTATGGATCAATTTTGGATCATAGGATGGATTCATCCAGTAGAAAATCTGGATGGCCGAATGGCTTACACAAAATCTGGTCTTGTCATGGGCGTCGTCAATAACAGCACAAATGAAGCTGTAATTTACATCTTTACTGACCTTGGGGAGAAAAAAAACTGATCTAAAAGATTATCATACAACATTCTCTAAAAATACAGCTTT